TCGGTGCCTGGGAGGACACAAAAGGCCCTCGAGAATGTTTGTCAAACAAGAGGAGGGCGAGCACTGTCCAAGAATGGCCTGGAATGTCAGCCTGGAGAAGAACCCCCATTTAAACTGGCCATGAACTCCAAGAAGAGTGCACAGGCAGGATGCTTGGTCAGTGCAGAGGCCCTGCTGGGTGGAGTGGATAGGATGAGTGCTTTTGAAGTATGTACTCTAATGACCCCCTTGCACAATCACAGAATTGGGTTTCACCATGTAAGATCTGAAACAGGGATTGGCCCTATAGTGTTTCGGCTTAAAGAGGCTTTCGATTTGAGCCCGATCCCCGTTTCTTCATTATCCCAGGCTTCGCAGGTGGTACGTCCCCCCACCAAGGCACAGTCTCTCAGCCACAGGTGAGAGCATGGCTTTTGTACCGGTGGGCGTTGAGACACGGTGGAAAGAGTGTAACCATGTTTCAGGGAAGGGAGGTGTGTGGAAGTTCTGCATCATTTAAACAGCTGTTCTTTCTCCCCAGGTCATGTTTGGGTCTTCCTGCTCCCTTATATCTTCTCCTTCCTCCGTCCACCCTTTAAGAACCAGAGCAGAGTGGCACTGTTTGAAGGCTAGGGCAAATGGCCAGGAGAATTTAACTCCTCACATCAATGGTGATGGTAGTAACATGCCACATGTGAGTGAAGGCTACTCTGAGACCCTGCCGTAAGTGTATAGTGTAGTGGGCCCAGTGGTGCCAGTGCTCAGCGAAGTAACGAACAGTTGTGTCAAAGAAATGAGCAAAAGCGTGTCAAGCATTTGTGAGAGTTTTGTTTTTCTTCCTGAGCAACTATTTTGAAATAGCTTTCCCCACAATTCTATAATTTTTATAAAATCAGACTTTGCCACAACACTATCTTGCTCATTGTGTTATGGTGGGGAATTGATAAGAGTCCCTCTGTGCAGTTGTCTGTGAAGATGGGAGCACAGTTGCCAGGCTCTAGAAGAGACTTGGGAAATAAATAGCACATGTAAGATGCTTTACATTGTTTATTTGCTACTCCCTCTTGGTCCCAAGTAAATAAGCTGTAAGAAAACATATATCAGGTATAAACATATAAGCAGGTGTAATTGCCAGGTTCCTGGCGACTCCTTGTTAAAACAATTAGCAAAAAGTCACTCATGCGTGTATTATGATAGAGTGATGGAAACATAAATGTTTTAAGTAATTTCGCTGCATTCTTCTAAATTTTTAAAGCACTTTAATGAAATTCAAATGAGGCCAAAAACAATCATGCTTTAAAAAACAAACATTAGGAAATGACTATTTTACATGAGGATGCCATCTGTCTGACTCATACTAGATATAAAGCCACCTTTTCCCCTACCTTTCGTTGACCTCAGGAAACAGCAGATGATGCACATTTCTTCCTCTTTTTTATTTGTTAATAACCTTATTGAGGTATAATTTACCTACAATAAATTCACCTGTGTTAGGTGTACAGGCAGGTGAATTTTAGAAATTATCCATAGTCATGTCAACACCTCCATAATCAAGTTCCATCACCTTAGAAAATTCGTTCATGCTCCTTTGCAGTTGATCCCCTCCCCTAACCCCTGGCCCCGACACCCTCTGATCTGCTTTCTGTCACTGTAGCTTTGCGTTTTTAAGAATTTCATATAAATGGAATCATACTGTGTGTAGTCTTTTGTATTTATCTTCTTTCACTTAGCATAATCTTTTTGAGACTCATCTGTGTTGTTGAGTGTTTTCATATTTCATTCCTTTTTATTGCTGAATAGTATACATTAAGTATGGATATATCACAATTTGGTTATCCATTCACCGGTTGATGGATTTTTGGGTTTTATCCTGTTTGTGGCTATTATGAATAATGCTGCTGTGAATAGTCACATACAAATCCTATGTGTAGACTTATGTTTTCATTGCTTTTGGGTAAATACCTGGGATTGGGATTGCTGTTTCGTTTAGTTAAGTGCATATTCAACTTGATGAGATGCTACCATGCTGTTTTCCAAGGTGGCTGCTCCATTCTGCATTCCCATTAGCAGTACGTGACAGTTCCAGTTGCTCCACGTCCTTCCCAGCACTTGGCATTGCCAGCATTTTTAACTTTAGCCATTGTGGTGAATGTCGTTCATTTTGGTTTTAGGTTGCATTTCCCTGGTGACTAGTGGTGTTGAGTATCTTTTCATGTGCTTATTGGCCATTTGCATATATTCTTTTGTGAAGAATAGTTCTCATTTTTTACTCAATTTTTAATCGTGTTGTTTGTCCTCTTATTATTGAGTTGTAAGAGTTCTTTATATCTTCTGAATACAAGCCTTTTGTCAGATTTATGTTTTACAGATATTTTTCAAAGAAGATAAACTTTTTAATCTTGATAAAGTTCATTTTATCATTTTCATCTTTTATAGATTGTGTTTTTTGTGTGCTGTATAGGAAATCTTTGCCTAACCAGTGTTAAAAATATTTTCTCCCATGTTTTCTTCTAGAAGTTTAATGGTTTTAGCTCTTACATTTAGGTCATTTATGTATTTTGAGTAATTTTTATGTATAGTGTGAGGTAAGGGTTGAAAAGTTTATTTTTTTTTCATATAGATAACCTGTTCTAGTACCACATTTTGAAAAGGCTATCTTTTCCCCATTGAATTTCCCCATTGTTGACCATTATTGACATTATTACATGCTTAATGTTGTCCCATGGCTCATTGATCCTTCCTTCCTTCCTTCGTTTCTTTTGTCTTTTTTCTCTCTTGTTTCTATTCGGATAGTTTCTATTAGTGTCATCAAGTTCACTGATCTTTCCTTCTGTAATGTCTAATCTGCTGTTAACCCCATCCAGGGTATTTTCATCATAAATGTTGTATTTTATTTCTAGAAGTTTTGATTTGGATTTTTAAAATCATCTTCCATGTCTCTATTTAACATGTTCAGCCTTTCTTCCAGCTTCTTAAACATGGGGAAACAGATATAACTTTTTATTTTTTTTGTGAGAAAGATCGGCTCTGAGCTAACATCTGCCAGTCCTCCTCTTTTTGCTGAGGAATACTGGCCCTGGGCTAACATCCGTGCCCATCTTCCTCCGCTTTATATGGGACGCCGGCCACAGCATGGCCTAACAAGTGGTGTGTCGGTGCGTGCCTGGGATCCGAACTGGTGAACCCTGGGCCGCCGCAGTGGAGCACGCGCACTTAACTGCTTATGCCACCAGGCCCACCCCAGTTATAACTTTTAAAGTCCTTGTCTACTAACTTTATCATTTGTCATTTCTGGGTCTGTTTCTATTTATTAATTTTTCTCCTCTTACGGAGTTGTATTTTCCCTCTCCTTTGCATGCCTGGTAATTTTTTATTGGATGGCCGATAGTGTGAGTTTTAGCTTTCTGATGCTAAATTTTTTTTATATTCCTATAACTATTCTTTCGCTTTATTCTGGAATGTAGTTTAATTACTCAGAAACAGTTTGGTACTTTTGAATGTCTCTTTTAAACTTTTTTAGGTGGAGTGAGAACAGCCTTTCATCTAGGGATGATGTTAGTAACCTTTTTCTGAGTACTCTATCTGATGCTCCGTGACATGAGGTTTTTCACTCTGGCTGGTGGGACTAGACACTATTCCCGGCCCTGCTGAGCCTCAGGGATTGTGCCTTCTGCTCCTCTCAGGTGGTTCTTTCCCTGTTCTTGGATAGCTTTCTTATGCACAAGCCTGATAGTTCTCAGCTGGAGACTTGGGGAACACTCTGAGATCTCTGCAGCTCTCTGTACAGCTCTCTTCTCTCGTACTATGCCCTGTGAACTCCACCTGCCTTGGGATTCCCGACTCTTATCAACTCATGGCAGAGCTCCACCTGGGTTCCCCCTGCCTGCACCGTGGCCTGGAAACTGTCTCTAGGCAGTGTGCTTGGCCAGTGGTGGGGCTCATCTTAAGTGTTCTCCCTCTCTGATGTCTAATATCTGAAAATCATTGTTTCCTATATTTTGTTCAGTTTTTTAGTTATTTCAGGTGATTATAAATCCAGTCCTTGTTATTCTGTCTTCATTGGAAGCAGAAATCTCAAGCTAGTTTTTAAAAGTTTTAATGAAATATTTTTAGCACTCAGGCAAGTATAGAATATAGTGAATTGATTACCTGGGCGGCCACTACCCAGCTGTATAATTTTGTCATATTTCTGCTGCATTAAAAAAAAAAATTACAGATACAGTTCAAACCCTCTCTTCTTCATGATCTCATTATTTTCTTGCCCTTTACAGAGGTAACCAGTATTCTGTATTTGATAATTATCATTCATGTATGGATTTTTTAATAGTTTCACTACATATGTAGATATCTATAGATAATATCTATTAATAGTATTATCTTAAAGATTTAAAATAATGTCATGTTGTACATGTCATTCTTCCATTTTCTTTCTTTTTTCATTCAGCATTTTAAAAAATATTTATCCCTATGATACATGTAGCTTTAGCTAGAATGTACATTCCACAAGGTCAAGAATCTTTGTTTTGTTCACTGACTTATCCTGAACACCTAGAATAGTGCCTGGCACATAGTAGGCACTCAATAAATATTTGTTGAATGAGTAAATTCATTTTAAGTGATGTATAGAATTTGAATGTATGAATATGCTGCAGTTTATTTATCTATTCTCCTCTTGATGGAAGTTTCAGTTGTTGCTTTTCTTTTCCTTTGCTAATATGAATAGTGCTGCAGTGGATGTTCTTGTTTATGTCTCCTTGTGCACTGCCCAAGAATTTGTTTAGGAAACGCTGGGTCTTAGGGTAGGCATCTCTTCAGCTTAACTGTACGTTGCTGAATTATTCTGCATGATAATAGTACCAATTTATACTCCCACCAGCAGTGTGGAAGAGTTCCTGTTTCTCCGTATCCTCACCAACATTTGATATTATCACATCTTTTAATTTTTGCCAACCCTATATATGTGAAATTACATTTTCTTTTACAGTTTTTTTAAAATACCACATTTCCTTTTTGCCCAATAGAAATTCAATGTCTTCTTTACGTCCTGGGAGAGGGCATAATGATAGTCGGAAGAGTGTGTTTTATACCAATGAAGAGTGGGAGCTTTTAGACCCAAGCCCTAAGGACCTGGAGGAGTCTGTGGTACAGGAAGAAAGGAAGAAGCCAGTCCCTGAAGGAAACAAAGGTATAGACATGTTCCTGTTGTCTGTTGTTCTCTCCACCAGTCTGGGTTCTCTCTTACCCACCAGTGACCTGGGAGACCTTTTGGTAGCAGGTCTTTCTAGAAGCATAAGGCCCAATGGGAGTTGCATTCTCTTTGTGGGAGATAAAACATGTAAGCTTGAAAAATTAGATGTTACAGGAAATAAGTAACTGTCCAGTCGTGTGGTTCTTAAACTTTTTCAGGAGATAGACCATCTGGAAGTCATGGTACTGTTTATGGAAATATTAATTTAAAAAAAACCAACTTTTTATTTATAGAAATTTGGAATGAACACAAAAGTAGAATATATAGTGTCATGAATTCTGGTGTTCCCGTCATCCAGCTTCCACAAATCTATTCTTATGGCTTCTCTTATTTCCTCTTTATCTCCTCTTTATCTAAGCTCCTGCCCCTCCCTGCAACCACCATCAGCTGGATTATTTTAAAATAAATTCTAGACATCAATCCACTGCATCTGTAAATATTTTAGTATGTGTCTCTAAGAGATAATGACTCTTTTTAAAAAACTATGACCACAGCTTTATTATTATACCTAAAAACAGTTACAGTAAATCTTTATTGTCTAATTCCCCAATTGTTCCATAAATGCCTGCCAACATTCGGCCTGTTCACATGAGGTGCTAATAAGGCCTGCAGGTGTATTTAGTTGCTGTGTCTCCTTAGGTCTCTTTCAGTCTGAACAGCTCCCTGGTCTTTTTTTGTCTTCCTTTTCCCTTGCCATGCTCGTTGAAGAAACAGGGTCTTTGTGCCGAGGAATTTCCCACATTCTGGATTTTGCTAATTATGCTTCTGTGGGGTTACTTAACATCCTCCTTCATCTCTGTATTTCCTGTATACTGGTCGCTAGAGCAGAGGCCTGCCCAGATTCAGGGTTAACTTTTAATTATGAGAAGACTACTGTTTTAGAGGGGTAGGGGTGCTGTGTATTTCCTGGTGCATCACGTCTGGAACCACATCGTGTCTGGTTTTCTCTCTTTTTGTGATATTAAGATCGATCAGGATTTAGGGTTGCCAGCCCAATCCATTCATACAGTTCTCCGTTGGCCTTTTGCCTAATCTGTTTAGCAGCCATTCATGATCCTACATCCATTGATCCATTGAGGGAATATTGATGTTTTAAATGTAAAATAACAATAAACAATTTTGAAATTCTGCCTTATGCTTAATTCTAGCGTGGGCTGGCAGGGATAGGAGGCAGGATTTTAGGAAATCTTTACTGGGAGAGCGAGTATTTACTAAAGGAAATATTTCTTCTGTCCCCTGGGAAAGGACTGCCATGACTGGCTTTGAGGGGGAGCTTACCTGTGTTCCACAGGATCGTAGTATGGAACCCTACCGTCCCAGTGTAACCTGGTGTAAAATGGGGCCAGGCTGAGTATGCTTCATTACCTAATGCATGGCAGAACCAGTGGGAGGACCCAGGAGAGGGGCTCCTTGTGAACTGGGAATGCCTCCTGGAGGAAGGGGATTTGGGCTGGGGATTTGAATTATTGAAGATAAGTGGTGTTGGCTCTTACTTCCATAGAGATTCTAGGAATAAAATGGAAGGGATAAATGCGAGCAAGATTGGGAAGGAGGAATCAGGACGACTCAGGGACTTGGGAAGGGCAAGAAACTCCCAGCACCCTGGAGAGTAGTTTCTCGACGGAGCAGCCTTCTCAGCCTCTGCCCAGTCCCTCATCCCTTTGAGAGGGAGCCTGTGTGAAAGACATGGAGGGACAAAGATGTCTCTGGACTTTGATCTTGCTTGTTCATAGGTATTTCCTGTAATGGCCCCAAGAATTGTTGTCTATGCTATTTATGGGAAATGAACCACCCTTCCTTGTATTTTTTACCCTCTATTTTTAAGTAAACTTTTAAATTGAAGTTGAACATACAGAAAAGTCCCCCAGTCAGAAATGTATGAGTTTTCACAAAGTGAACACACCCATGTAACCAGCACTTAGTTGAAGAAACAGAGGGCCGGCCCCGTGGCTCAGCGGTTAAGTGCGTGCGCTCCGCTACTGTCGGCCTGGGTTCGGATCCCGGGCGCGCACCGACGCACCGCTTCTCCGGCCATGCTGAGGCCGCGTCCCACATACAGCAACTAGAAGGATGTGCAACTATGACATACAACTATCTACTGGGGCTTTGGGGAAAAAAGAGGAGGAGGATTAGCAATGGATGTTAGCTCAGGGCTGATCTTCCTCACCAAAAAAAAAGAAACAGACAATCTCAGCACTCCAGGAGCCACCCCCATTCCTGAGCCCCCTTCTAGTCACTACACCCTCACCCCAGGGCTAACCACTGTCCTGCCTCCTAACAGCATGGATTCGTTTTGCCTGTTTTCTAACTATATAAATGGAATTTATATATGTGTACTCTTTTGTGTATCCTCTTTATATTTTGAATATATATTTGAATTAATCTACGCTAAAATTTATTTGGATCCCTTGATATTTTTAAATACCTATTTTTAAAGAAGAGAATACAGTCATGCTTTAAAACCTGTGTTTACAATTTAAAACATACATTTGGACTTTCTTTTTGTTTTTTTACTAAGGATAGATTAGCAAAAAAATAAGGATCCCTAGTATGTCTCTAAGTCCTGCCCTTGGAACCTACTGTCTAACTTCGTAGGTGGGGGCCCATCCTCACTAAGAGGCCCTGGGGAAGGGATGTCGTTTTTCAGGATGCTGTGGGAGCTTGGAGCACCCATGTTCTTCCCTGGCCTGTGTCTCTGTTCTCTTTGGTCCTGCAAGTACCTGAAATGGGAAAATGGTGATGTGAACATATAGGTTTAACACCGAGCTTTTGAGAATAGATTTTGGAAAATAAACTAGCATTAGTACAATTTTGTCATAAATTCCTTATTAGTGCCAATGTACCTGTCTACCTTTTTTCATTTACTTTAGAGCAAAGATTGAGCAATCAAATAGAAGGTTTTCTTTTAGAGTGACCACATGATGGAGTCTTATAAGGAAGGATCCAGTGGGGGAATCATCTCTGATTTTAGGCCTGGTTATTATCAAGAATGAGGTGGGGGCAGAGAGGCATCTCCCTGCCGGTGTTTTCAAGTTGATGAATGCAGAACTCCTTGGAGGCTGATAGGTGAGATGCTTCTGTGTGTTATTGTAGTTTCCAAAGGGAAGAGTTAGCCTGCACTTAAAAAACAAGTTTTGGGGAGCTGTCCCAGTGGTGTAGTGGTTAAGTTCACGTGCTCTGCTTCAGCGCCCCGGGGTTCGCAGGTTCAGATCCCGGGTGCAGACTGATGCACCGCTTCTCAGGCCATGCTGTGGCGGCATCCCATATAAAGTAGAGGAAGATGGGCACGGATGTTAGCCCAGGGCCAATCTTCCTCAGCAAAAGGAGGAGGATTTGCATCGGATGTTAGCTCAGGGCTGATCTTCCTCACAAAAAAAAAAACAAGTTTTGTTTTTATGTAGGAGTGACTGGCTCAGGATTTCCCTTTGATTTTGGACGCATTCCCTACAAAGGAAAGCGCCCTTTGAAAGACATGATTGGATCGTACAAAAATCGTCACAGTAGTGGTGACCCATCAGCCGAGGGGACATCGGGTAGTGGTGGCACCAGCAAGCCTTTCTCCGAAATGCAGCTGCAGGTCCAGAGCCAGCAGGAAGAGCTGGACCGGTTAAAGAAAGACCTGTCGAGTCAGAAGGTAACTTTTCTTCTTTATGTTTCTATCGTATCTCGCATCAGCGGCCCAGGGACCAGAGGAGCAAAGCCTGGCTTTCATGTTTCTCTGAATCTTTTATTTCCCAAAAGCTGCTTTTCCCCTGAAAGTTTTACGTTGCCATGGCCACTGTCCCAGGCCCTGCTGCTCTGCTTGATTGTTTGTTCATTGACATTTGAGTTTCCAAGGCGAGTGAAGACGCCTCAGAGTGGGTCAGGGGAGGGTGTTATCTGCACCATGCCCACCCCTGCCCTGACATCAAATCTCTCTGAACATAGCTTCAGCCCCGAGTCCATTAACAGTTGTTCGAAGAGTTTCCACATCCTGTTCTACAACACAGTTTCCTTCTGAGCTAATCAGACCTAATTACACTTAATTGCTCAGGAGGTCATTGAATTTTAGAGCTCAGGTTTTTTAATATGGATGAACATATACAGGGAACCATTGCTGATTACAGTATGTGCATTCGTTATTTCCTGTTTCCTGTTACTCTCTACAGACAGTCTTTATGGAGTAAATTTTTTTCCTGTCTATTTTTGAGATCCTTCAAGAGGAAGTTCAGTATTAAACTGTTTCCAGTAAAGTTTCTTCATTTCCTCAAATTCCAGTGATTGTTCCAGGTAGAGTTGTCACGATTTCTGCTTTTGCTCCTCTCCCTGGCTCTCTTCACCCTCGCTCCATCCTCCTCTGGCTCCCAGGAGCTCGTGCGGCTGCTGCAGCAGACAGTGCGCTCATCGCAGTACGACAAGTACTTCACGAGCAGCCGACTCTGTGAGGGGATCCCAAAGGACACACTTGAGCTTCTACACCAAAAGGATGACCAGATTCTGGGCCTCACCAGCCAGCTTGAGAGGTTCAGCCTGGAAAAAGAGAGTCTTCAGCAGGAAGTGAGAACTCTGAAGAGCAAAGTGGGTGAGCTCAATGAGCAGCTGGGGATGCTGATGGAGACCATCCAAGCCAAGGACGAGGTCATCATAAAGCTCTCGCGGCAGCTCAGCGAGTGCGAGGGCAGTGTGGCTTCTCCCAGCTCGGCGCCCAGCTCCCCCTCTGCCGCCCCTACGGGCAGGGACCAGCTGGAACTGGACAGGCTGAAAGTAAGAGCAGAGTGTGGGCTCTGATTATTGGGACAAGAAATCCAAAAACCCGTTAACAGTCTGTCTGGTGATGTCACTCCAGAGCTGCTGGTCTCAGGGAGCTAATTTGGCGTGACAGCAGAGCAGCTGTGCCTTTTTTTTTTAAAAACAAGTATAACAGGACTTGTAGTCAAATAATTATTAGTTTTCTAAGAAGCTTCCTTGGAAAGTGAAAGTCTAAGTCCAGCCATGTTGCCCTTGCTCAGAACAGTTTCAGATCTTTCCCCTCCCTTGCTTTCAGGCAGCAGAGACTTCTCTACTTATGTGTCCTTAGAACTTCCCTGTTCCATGTAACCTTCAGAAGCTATTCCCTCTGTGCATGAATGCGTGCACCAACATCATTTCCACAGCCTGCCTCAGGACCTAATGGGGGCCAGGTGAGGGAGCACCGTTCCCAACAGCTAGAGTGCGGTCGGTCAGCTGGGCAAGTAGACCTCGGCTCCCAGGCAGGCCTGGGAAGAGGCCCTGCTCAGAGTCGGTGCCCCCTGTGCCCAAGGTGGGAGGGTCCTGACACAGTGAGAAGGGAGGGCAGAGCTCTCCTCCTAGTGTCCCTCTCTGGGCTGGCCGGGGGTTGGGGGGGAGGCTGGTTCCTGAACAGAGGTGACTCTCCTAGTCATACCTGGGGTGGTGACCAGCCGATGAGGTAGGAGGAGCACACAGCATTTGTGGGAGGCAGGGGCAGTTGGACTCTTTTTGCCTGTGGAAAAGCCTGCCAGTCCTGAGGGGAGAGCTGAATGGCCTTGGGCCACTGTCAGGCCACAGAGAGGGTCATCGAAGTCCTCCTGCCACCAGTTCTTGAGTTAGAGAAGTGTCCCCTACGACATGAGACATTGGGTATAGCCCAGTTGACCCCAGCTGACCCCAAACAGGTCTGTAGCTATAGGTCCCACCTAGCCCCACGTCCTTCTCACCTGGCTACCCTCTTTTTGCAAACAGTTTGGCACAAGGTTGTTTGGCCCCCCAAGTGCACCTTATCCTTTAAGGGCAAAGACTGGCGCCTGTTGAGGTCATTCCTGAGCACTTCACGCCCAGCAGCACCTCTCTTGCAGTGTCAGTGAACTGGATGACTGAATGGTGGACGTGCTAGGGGCCTTAAAGGTAATTCCAAAATGGCAGTTAGAAACACTGGAATTACGGCGGCCTCGTTGTAATGTGGATGCAGTCTCCACAGGGACCACTTCTCAGTGATGACACCCAGTCAATATGTGAGGCCAGAAAGATTTGTTAATGAGAAAAGCCAAAAACAACAACAAAAACCCCAATGTCATTACGTTATAATCATATCTAGTCCAAAAATAGCCGTGTTTAAAAAAAAAAAACGAGTTCTTGGTTAGTATTGCTGGTAAAAGTCAGTTTTGTTTATATACACAAGGAACGTACCTGACTCTAAGTATACATCCCATCGGTAATACACCATGTTACGACTACTTGTTTAATGTCAGCTGAAATTGATATATTGCAAGCATGTGTATTTTTGTAGGGTTTAGAGACTAACGCTGGGCATTCGGTTCCCAGGTTGCAGTGAGTGATGCTGGGCAGTGGGGGAAGCATGTGCGGCAAGTTTTCACGGGGAGCCAAGCCAGGGTGTGTGAGGAGAGTGTGTCACTTTGTTGTTGTGGCTCTACACAGCTCCTTTTGGAGACAGCTAACAGAGTTGATCAGAATTAGACTTTTCGCCCCTTTCTTTTTGCAGCGTAATGGGTGGGGTGGTTTTGAATCAGTCATGACATTTTTTTCTCCAGCATTTCTCAACTTAACAAATTTTAAGCCTGTAGCTCCAGAATTCCACAACAGTCAGGTTAAGTGGCTACATAGCATATGAAGAGGCAGAATGGTTGTTAAGGGCCCTACTTGTGGCCCATGGATTCTGAGTGGGACAGGTGAGTCCTGCTTGGGTCTCAACCTCATGTTTTCTGACGTTGCTCTGCCTGGAGCCTGTTATTACCGGTGCCGGCGCATCCCCTCGCCTTGCAGAAGACATTCACACTTAATCCATGCCTTCTCTGCAGTGGCGCTGGGAGAAAGGCTTGAGGGAGACCTTTGGACAGAAGTGGGTGTTTTCTCACTGTCCTTCACTTCTAGATAGTGCGTGGTTTCCATATTGATTTCTTCCTTCGACCCCAAATTTAAAATGTCTAGGTGTGTGTTGGTTGGACGGAGCTATCTTTTTTTATTGTTACTGTTACTGTCCAGTTTCTTGCTTTATAATCAGTGTATGTGGCGTGTAAGGATTTCTGCACTCTGGAATTTGCTGACATTTCTTTTTTGGTCTAATACATGGTCATTTTTTGTTTCTGTAGTATTTTGAGGCAGGAATAAATATTGTTCCTAGGATTTTAGCACCCTGACGATTTGAGTATTTTTTCCATATTTCCTTCCAGGCCTTTTCTATGTTTACATAATTCTTCCGTTTTTGGAGTAGACAGACTTTTGTTTCATTCAGCATTATAGCCCAAGCACATTCTCTGTTGCTATCATTAGTGATTTCAGAATTGTCCATCCTTTGACTCTGTCATCATTTACTTAATCAACCTTTGTCTTCAGTCCTGTGTTGCTATTTCATGAATATCTTCATGCATACAGCTTTTCCTTCTTTGAACCCTTTCATTCAGCCATGTGCCAGGCTTTGTGCTCTGCACGAAGTACACAGTTTCTGTCCTCCTGGAGCTTGCAGTTTGGTTTAGAAAGCACAAAAATAAGAGCAGAATCACAGCTGTAGGAAGCACCAGGAAGGAAGGGGATAGACCAGTATGAGGTGGTGGTGTAGACTGAACAGGGGCTCTGGAGCCAGACCTGGCAGGGTTCAAACCCAGCTTTACCACTTGGCAGTTTAGTTCACCTCTCTGCCACAGCGTGTTCATCTGTGAAGTAGCACTCAACTCCCAGGGTCTTGTAAGCATTAAAGGAGGTATTTCACAGAAAGCCTCAAGCAGCGCCTGGCACCTCGTAGGGTCTTAACTTGCTGTGATCATCATCAGCATTCTAGAGAAAGCATCCTTAAGATAAATTATCAGGACTTACGTAGGCTGTAGCACAAATTTTGACTTAGACGTAGATACGGCTGATCATGATTTCCTGCTGTCACTGACCCACCTTGTATCCCTCAGTCTCTGTCTGTCATGGTCGAGGGTATTCCTCAGTTGCCCTCTAGCTCACCTTCCTTCAGTCTGCTTGCCTTTTAGTAATGTGTTTGTTCATTGTTTCCAAATATGAGAGCTTTAAGATGCCAGAACAGAGAACATCATGATTCAGATCAGAAAAGGAAGTCTGTGGGTCTCCTTTGGGGTTTGACACTGGATATCTTGTTGTGATGTGCGGTCTTGCTAAGACTGAGCAGGTGTGATGCATATCAGAGCTCAGGTGGGAGTCGGGGGGCCAAGCACTCGGAGCCCAGAGCCCAGCAGGCCTGGCTCTGAGAGGTCTGGTTCCCAGCCCCAACGCTTAGTAGTTGTGCAGTCTCCCTAGGGCTCAGTTCTTCACTTAGGAATGGAGGTGATGAGAATAGCTGCCTGAGTTGTGAGGTTTAAATGAGATCAAGAATCTCATGTGCCTAGCACAGGGCACCTGTAACCCATAGCAAGTGCTCCATAAGTGTTAGCAATCAAAGGGACCATTGAAACATTTTCAGTTCGTCTGTATTTTTTAGGGGAAATTGTATACCCCCATGATGGTTTCTAGTTTGGAGATTGGAGCCTGTCTCTTGACACATTTTGGGGGAATGACCACGGTCTCTATCCTGTGACAGCACAAGAATCAGGGCCTTTCTTGATCACTCCTGGCCTGTCCTTGGAGCTATCATGAACAGAGTTTCTCCTGTGATTGAGGGATCAGAAATTCCTCAGGACCTTCAAACAGAGTATGTGTATGTTGAGGGGGGATGACACATTTGTAAAAGACTGAATTGGTAGAGAGCATTTAGGAATCACTGCCCTAAGTGTCTCAAAGGTTTCCTTTCACTCTCCCTGCTCAGAGTTTCAAGGGCTGAAGCTAACATATGACATCCACCTCTACCAGACCTGAACTTTTAGTCGAACTTGGCAGAACTTGTCACCAGCTTGTGCTGTTCTCTTAAAAACATAAAGCAAATGTGGCAAAAGTTTTACAATTAGCGAATTTAGGTGAAGGGTATATTGTGTTCATTGTACTTTTCTTTCAACTTTTCCATACGTTTGAAACTTTTCAATGTAAAGAAGTTGAGGAGCATGTTCTCCTAAGTTACTTATGCACTGTAGGTTGTAGGTGCTCATTGGAAGTGTGATTCATTAGTTAAGGGCTTTGTATATGTGTGTAGCATAAACTGGATACGTAAAAATGAGTGCCAACAGAAAGTGTGTTCAGTTCCACTAGTTAAAAAAGAAATAAATGAAAGGTATTGCTTCTTGTACCACCTCAGTGAATGTGGGTAGATAACATATTTGCATAGATTTAGGAAATATGTCCTACTTATTTCTCCTGTGGTCAGTTGAAAAAATCACCACTGTTAAATAAATTCGTTTTCCCCGTCTCCTTTATTACAGCAGTAGTCCCTGCCTTCCTCCTACTGCCGGGAGTGGCCACAAAGATTAATCAGAAAGTGCCTGGTAGTCAGGTTTCAGTTCCTTAGAACTTGTTCTAACTCAGCAGGGCTATTTGATTGGTGAGGCAGCAAAATGTTAATTATATAGAATAATTAGGCAATATTCAGCCAATGTGAATTGATGGTTTGTTTTTTTTCCCAACAGGATAATCTACAGGGATACAAAACCCAAAATAAACTTCTAAATAGGGAAATTTTTGAACTCTCAGCTCTACGGAGAAATGCAGAAAGGAGAGAGAGGGATCTGATGGCAAAGGTGGGTGAGAATGGATATATTCTATTATCTGGTGGGAGATACGATTCAGAAACCATTTAAAAATGGACATGCTTTTAAAATCAGTTCACCTCCCATGCTTGGAGTGCTGTGGTTACTGATGCCAAAATATATTTGAAATATATGTGGTGCACAGAGCTATGTATTTGGTCTCACTTTGTCTGTGATGAAGACAAATAGAAATGCCCTGAGATGTGGTTTCCATCCACACATATAATGGAGTTTATAGGAAAAAAATTAAGTACAATTCTAAGGTCTCCTAAATTAAGGTTATTTGGATTTTGATCTATGCTATTGAGTTGTGTGAATCCGTTTCTTATCTATAAATGGGGATGGTGAGGATAATGCCTCCTCTGTGAACCTAATAGGGCTGATGTGAGAGTCGGATGTGATTGTGGCTGGAAAGGACTTTGCATTGTGTAAAGACATCACAAACATTACAGTTATAATCCAGTGAAATTCAGTGACACTTGTGTCAACAGCTGTTATTTACCTAGTATACCTTTTGAACAGTCCTCAAAGCATCTTCCCAAACCTTGTTCCTGCATGTTTTCCAGGGGTGTATTTGATTTGTCTGATAAGGTGGCAGATGGGAGCTAGTCCTGGGTCACAGCATCCTAAGAAATTGTTGATGTAGCGTGGGGTGGCTTCTCATGGCCCTTGTGCCAAGTGGCACTCAGCTTGACCTCAGTAATTGCCATGTGGCCTGGTTTTTGCTGCTCACTTCAACCGTCTCCAGAACTGATGCATGTGTTGGCATCCAGAGGTCTTATTACCAGCACCTCTTCTTTACCAGATCCCCTAGAAGGAAATGGGGGGACCATAGCAGATCATTTTAAATATGACGAGTGGCCTATGGCATAAATTAATCTCTTGTCTTTGATAGTCTCTCTCTGGCTCACTTCCTGGTAGTTTTGGGCTTGTCATTCATTGATGCTTGAGGTATGTAAAGATTGCTTTTGCTTTGTCTGTCTGGACGGAGGTAACCACCACATTCTCTGCAGTATTCTAGCCTGGAAGCCAAGCTCTGCCAGATAGAAAGCAAATACTTGATATTGCTCCAAGAAATGAAGACACCAGTTTGCTCAGAAGACCAGGGGCCTGCTCGGGATGTCATAGCCCAGTTGCTGGAGGATGCTCTGCAGGTTGAGAGCCCAGAGCAGCCAGAGCAAGCATTTGTTAAACCTCATCTTGTCAGGTAAAGGTGCTAGCAACTGTTGGGGGTAGTGCAACCCATTTCTCAAGTCCCGTTTTTCATCAGCAATAGCTGTTCACAGAGAACTTGACAAGTCTCACTTGATGCTCATGACAAGTACTGTCCAGTCATTAGAACAGGCAGTCTCATCATTCTTGCTGTAATAAGTGATAGAGCTGGGATTCAGCCCAGGTCTTTTGATTCCAAGACCTTTCTCCTGTGTACCATGCCAAGGTGGATGATAGCTTTAGTTTCTGTGCTGTTGCAGGAGGAGCCATTCTTCCGAGGAGTGGGAACCCTCTCCTGAGATGCAGCCATACCCACAGGTGGTTCGAAAGCAAAGGGGGCCCCTAAGTGGGGATCTGGGCCTTCTTTATAAGGGAAAAACACTTGGGTAGCCTGATGCAGTGGTCCAGAACTCAGTTAGGGTCTGATACGTGCCGTGGACACACTCCCCCCTAAAATGCACTTGGACATACACGCAGTATTACATATATTTTTCAGAAAATCAATCTGGAAGCCTTTGATTGTTCTTGTATTAAGAACCTTCATATCCTAGTTTCTGAAAAGTGAAATCATGGAATATTGGAGTGAGGAGAAATCTGCCAATTGACTCAGTCCAGTCTCCTCTGTTTCCACCCCCTTGATACCAGGGACCCGCTGCCCGGGTGTAGGCCCTGCTTGCTGCAGCCACCTCACTTCTCCTGCCCACCCCTGCCCAGGTGGAGCCTTGCTTCAGCTTGACACAATCTTTCCCTTCTCTGAGCATGCAGCACTGGTCTGCACTGTCTGGGCTACTCATGACAGTTGAAAATATGCTGTCAGAACGTGACCAACCCATTGTTACAAAACTCTCCCTGAGGTCTGTGTGCCAGGAGCTGTGCCAGTGGTTTTACATGCAGGCTCATATTTAATGCTCTGTGGGATGGGCATTTTTATCCTCTCTGCACATGAGGAAGCTAGGGTTAGGGAGGTGATGTGACTTGCCGAGGGTCACACAGCCTGTGAGTGGCAAGGAATGTACCTCAGCCTGGACAGCCAGATTCCCAGGCTCAAGAGTGCTGTCTCCACGCTGCATACTTCTCTGTTCGCAGTGGTGGTGGTGGTGAACTGTGAGGGTATTCCAGCAAGCTGCTCTGAAGGCCCCATGTTGTCTTCCCTTGTACATTTTGGACTCTTACCATTTATGTTGTATGTTTTCAAACTTTAGGTATAAGTAGAACAATAACTGCATATTGATTTATTTTTAACTTTATTATGGAAAATTTCCAACATACAAAGAGTAGACAGAATCATATAACAACCCCCCACGTGCAGCCGTTACCCAGCTTCAGCAATTATTAATGTTTGGCCAATCTTGTTTTGTCTTATTTTCCCCCACCAAAGTCTTTTTTTTTCTGGAATATTTTAAAGCAAATGCCAGACATCATGTCATTTCACCTTTAAAAGACTTCAATGTGTATCTCTAACTGATGACACTTTTTAATATACTAATCCCACCATATTCATATCTTTTTGCAACTTATTTCTTTCAACATTATTTTCTGAAATTATCCACGTTGATACACGTAGCTCCTGAGCGTTTTTTTACCTGCCTCCTACAACTTCATCATATGCCACAGCATCTTTATTCCTTCCTCTCACGGTGGACACTTAGGATCGTTTCAGTTTTTCTCTTACAGACCTTGCTGCAGTGAACATCATGTCCATGTGTCCATGTGAGAGAGTTTCTCTCGCGTATAGACTAGAAGTGGAATGCCTGACCTACAGGGAATGCATATCTTCAACTCTGCTAGATCTGGTTTCCAAGATGCTTGTACAAGTTTACACACTCAGCAGCAGTATGTGAAAGGCCTTTGTATTAGTTATCTATGGCTGCCATAACAAATTATCACAAACTTTGTGGCTTAAAACAAAGCATGTTTATTATCTTACAGTTCTGTAGGTCAGCAGTCCAACATGGGTCTCACTGGATGAAAAAGAAGGTACCAGGATCTAGGGGACAGTTTGTGTCCTTGCTCATTCAAGTTGTTGGCAGAATACAGTTCCTTGCGGTTGTAGGACTAGGTTTCTGTTTCCTTGCTGGCTCTCCGGTGTGCCCATTCCCAGCTTCTAGAAGCCACCTGCATTCCTTGGCTCGTAGCCCCCTTCTTCCATCTTCAAAGCCAGGAAGAGCAGGTCCATTCCCTTTCTTGCTTCACATCTCTTCTACCTCCTTTTCCATCGTTGCAGCTCTCTGGCCAGCTCTTCTGCCTTCCTCTTCCACTTTTAAAGGCTCCTATGATTGCATTGGGCCCACCCAGATAGCCCAGGGTAATCTTCCGGTCTTAATTTCTATAACTATAATTCCATCAGCAATGTTCCTTTTGCCATGTAAGGTAGCATATTCACGGGTTCCAGGGATTAGGGCAGGGACATCTTTGGGGGCTGTTATTCTGCCTACCGCAGCCTTAATTCCTCTGTATCCCTAATATCTTACAAATATTTTCTCACTTGTCTTTTCACCTTTTTGAATGATAATTTTGAAGCATAAAAGTTTTACATTTGTATACATATGATATATAAACACACATACACACATATATTAACGGAGCCAGATTTTTGAGCCTTATTTTTGTAGTATCGCTTGTATTTTCTTCAGTGCTTTTCACATTTAGGGCTTTAAACCATCTAGAATTGATTTTTTTTCTGTCTATCGTCAAGAAGAAATCTAATTTAATTTTTTTTCCATATAGATAGCCAGTTTCTGCTCCCTGTTTATCAAGAAGTTTATTATTTCCTCACTGAGTTGAATGCCTGGTCATATATCAAAGTGCCACTTATACATGGGTTGATTTCTAGGTTCTCTTTTCTGTTTCATTGGTCTTTTTGCTGAGATCACATCATTTAAGTTTTCCTTTTGTTTTTCTCAACAGTGAATATGATATTTATGGGTTTAAGACTGTCCCAGAGGATGACGAGGAAGAGAAGTTAGTTGCCAAAGTCCGAGCATTGGACCTGAAGACTCTCTACCTCACAGAAAACCAGGAGGTTTCCACTGGGGTCAAGTGGGAAAACTATTTTGCTAGCACAATGAACAGGGAGATGATGTGCTCTCCAGAATTAAAGAACCTGATCCGTGCAGGCATTCCACATGAGCACCGTTCCAAGGTATGGAAGTGGTGTGTGGACCTTCACACCAGGAAGTTCAAGGACACCACTGAGCCTGGTTACTTCCAGACCTTGCTTCAGAAGGCGCTGGAGAAGCAGAACCCGGCCTCCAAGCAGATCGAGCTAGACCTGCTGCGGACTCTCCCCAACAACAAACATTACTCATGCCCCACCTCGGAAGGCATACAGAAGTTACGCAGCGTCCTGCTTGCCTTCTCCTGGCGGAATCCAGATATCGGCTACTGCCAAGGTCTGAACAGGTGTGTGCTCAGCCCACAGAATGCTCCTGTTTGCCGTTAAGATAACTTGTAGGCACCAGGCACTGCCTAACAGCTCTTTCACCTTCTGGTCAAGAAAAGCCAGTATTTTAAGGGAAAGAAGTAGTTGCAGTAAGCTAGTTTTAATTATGCAATATCTCCAATTCCAGAATAACTGAGAGAAACAAACGTGCTTTCAGAAAGTATTAAGAACACCAAAGTCAAAAACAACTAGGTTTCTCATTTTCAATTCCTTGTTCTCATCACACTCAGGTTTTGATCAGAAGTTTAATTTCATTACATGAAGTCAAAACTGGTGGCCACTCCTTGTTTATACAGGATGTTTGTGAATCAAGAACTTGCCCCAAACAGTTCTTCAGCTGGTTGAAACTTAGCTCTTGAAGAGCCCAAACTTGTTTTCTTTTGGACTACAGTCTTTCTGCAGGTCTTGCATATGTCCCTGCTTCCATAGGCAGAGGACACTGAAAAGCTTCTCACCTTTTCTTAATGATCCAGGCTCCTCATTCCGAGCTGAGCTGGGACAGGATGAGACCGTGGGACGGACTGAGGTCTGCTCTCCATGAAGCTGCTCCCCATCGCTGGACTTTAAGTGCTGATGGCTGCTTTTTACCTCATGTTTGTGTTTCACTGGCTGACCCACTGTCTGCTGCTTCTGCTCACTGCTGTCATTGCACTTGTCCGTTTATATTCCTCCCTGTGTAGTGAAAGTCAGTAACCAAGCTTGTTAGAAAGATGGATAAAGTATGAATGGAGAAGCTCTATGTGCATTCTTTAGGAATTCTTCTGTAAATCAAGTGCATGAGTTGAGTTTTGAATGCTGACATTTATTCTGGCTGCTCATAGGCTTCTTTTTTTTTTTATTGAGGTCCTAATAGTTTGTAACGTTGTGAAACTTCAGTTGTACATTATTATTTGTCAGTCACCGTATAAATGTGCCCCTTCACCCCTTGTGCCCAGCCCCCAACCCCCTTCCCCTCTGGTAACCACTAAACTGTTCTCTTTGTCCATGTGTTAGTTTATTTTGCACATATGAGTGAAATCATACAGTGTTTGTCTCTATCAGGCTTATTTCGCTTAACATAATACCTTCAAGGTCTATCCATGATGTTGCAAATGGAACAATTTTGTCTTTTTTTATGGCTGAGTAGTATTCCATTGTATATGTACACCACATCTTCTTTATCCAGTCATCAGTCGATGGGCACTTGGGTTGCTTCCACGTCTTGGCTATAGTGAATAATGCTGCAATGAACATAGGGGTGTATAAGTCTCTTTGAATTGTTGACTTCAAGTTCTTTAGATAAATACCCAGTAGTGGGATAGCTAGGTCATATGGTATTTCTATTTTTATTTTTTTGAGAAATCTCCATACTGTTTTCCATAGTGGCTGCACCAGTTTGCATTCCTACCAGCAGTGTATGAGGGTTCCCTTTTCTCCACATCCTCTCCAACATTTGTTATTTTTTGTCTTGGTGATTATAGTCATTCTCACGGGTGTAAGGTCATATCTTAGTGTAGTTTTGATTTGTGTTTCCCTGATGATTAGTGATGTAGAACATCTTTTCATGTGCCTGTTGGCCATCTGTATATCTTCTTTGGAAAATTGTCTGTTTCTATCCTCTGCCCATTTTTTGATTGGGTTGTTTGTTTTTTTGTTGTTCAGTTGTGTGAGTTCTTTATACATTTTGGAGATTAACCCCATGTCAGATATATGATTTGCAAATATTTTCTCCCAGTTGGTGGGTTGTCTTTTCGTTTCGTTCCTGGTTTCCTTCGCCTTGCAGAAGCTCCTTAGTCTGATGAAGTCCCACTTGTTTATTTTTTCTTTTGTTTCCCTTGTCCGAGTAGATATGGTATTTGAAAAGATCCTTCTAAGACCGATGTCACAGTGTACTGCCTACATTTTCTTCTAGGGGTTTTATGGTTTCAGGTCGTACCTTCTTTGATCCATTTTGAGTTAATTTTTGCATGTAGCGAAAGATAATAGTCTACTTTCATTCTTTTGCATGTGGCTGTCCAGTTTTCCCAGCACCACTTATTGAAGAGACTTTCCTTTCTCCATTGTATGCTCTTAGCTCCTTTGTCAAAGATTAGCTGTCTGTAGCTGTGTGGTTTTATTTCTGAGCTTTCAATTCTGTTCCATTGATCTGTATGTCTGTTTTTGTACCAGTACCATGCTGTTTTGATTACTATAGCTTTGTAGTATATTTTCAAGTCAGGGATTGTGATGTCCCAGCTTTGTTCTTTTTTCTCAGGATTGCTTTAGCTGTTTGGGGTCTTTTGTCATCCCGTATGAATTTTAGGATTCTTTGTTCTATTTCCATGAAGAATGTCATTGGAATTCTGATTGCTTTAAGTAGTATGGACATTTTAACTATATTTATTCTTCCAATCCATGTGCATGGAATATCTTTCCATTTCTTTGTGTCATCATCGATTTCTTTCAATAATGTCTTACAGTTTTCATTGTATATGTCTTTCACCTCCTTGTTAAATTTATTCCTAGATATTTTATTCTTTTTGCTGCAATTGTAAATGGGATTGTATTTTTGAGTTCTCTTTCTGTTAGTTCATTATTAGAGTATAGAAATGCCACTGGTTTTTGTAAGTTGATTTTGTACCCTGCAACTTTGCTGTAGTTGTTGATTATTTTTAATAGTTTTCCGATGGATTCTTTAGGGTTTTCTATATATGAAATCATGTTGTCTGCAAACAGCGAGAGTTTCACTTCTTCATTGCTCATTTGGACTCCTTTTATTTCTTTTTCTTGCCTAATTGCTCTGGCCAAAACTTCCAGTACTATGTTGAATACGAGTGGTGAGAGTGGGCACTCTTGTCTTGTTCCTGTTCTCAAATGGATGGCTTTCAGTTTTTCCCTGTTGAAGATGATGTTGGCTGTGGGTTTGTCATATATAGCCTTTATTATGTTGAGGTACTTTCCTTCTATACCCACTTTTATTGAGAGTTTTTAGCATAAATGGATGTTGGATCTTATCAGATGCTTTCTCAGCGCCTATTGAGATGATCATGTAGTTTGTTTTTTTTTTTTTTTTTGTGAGGAGATCAGCCCTGTGCTAACATCCGCCAATCCTCCTCTTTTTTTGCTGAGGAAGACGGCCCTGGGCTAACATCTGTGCCCATCTTCCTCGGTCATGTAGTTTTTATTCCTCATTTTGTTAGTGTGGTGTATCACATTGATTGATTTGCGGATGTTGAACCATCCCTGTGCCCCTGGTATAAATCCCACTTGATCATGGTGTATGATGTTTTTAATGTATTGCTGTATTCGGTTTGCCAATATTTTGTTGAGGATTTTTGCATCTATGTTCATCAGTGATATTGGCCTGTAATTTTCCTTCTTTGTGTTGTCCTTGTCTGGCTTTGGTATCAGGGTGATGTTGGCCTTGTAGAATGTGTTAGGAAGTGTTCTGTCTTCCTCAATTTTTTGGAATAGTTTGAGAAGGATAAGTATTAAATCTTCTTTGAATGTTTGGTAGAATCCTCCAGAGAAGCCATCTGGTCCTGGACTTTTATTTTCTGGGAGGTTTTTGATTATTGTTTCAATTTCTTTACTTGTGATTGGTCTATTCAGATTCTCTATTTCTTCTTGGTTCACTTTTGGGAGGTTGTATGAGTCGAAGAATTTATCCATTTCTTCTAGATTGTCCAATTCGTTGGCATCTAGTTTTTCTTATAATCCTTTGTATTTCTGTGGTGTCTGTTGTAATTTCTCTTCTTTCATTCCTAATTTTATTTATTTGAGCTTTCTCTCTTTTTTTCTTAGTGAGTCTGGCTAAGGGTTTGTCAATTTTATCTTCTCAAAGAACCAGCTCTCTGTTCCATTGATCCTTTCTACTGGTCTTTTTCTTTCAATTTCATTTATTTCTGCTCTAATTTTTATTATTTCCCTCCTGCTGACTTTGGGCTTTGTTCTTCTTTTTGTAATTCTTTTAGGTATAGTTTAAGATTGCTTATTTGTGATTTTTCTTGTTTGTTGAGGTGGGCCTGTATTGCTATAAATTTCCCTCTTAGGACCACTTCTGCTGCATCCCATATGAGTTGGTATGGGGTATTTTCACTCTCATTTGTCTCCAGATATTTTTTGATTTCTCCTTTAATTTCTTCAATGATCCATTGGTTGTTCAGTAGCATGTTGTTTAGTCTCTACATATTTGTCACTTTCCCAGCTTTTTTCTTGTAGTTGATTTCTAGTTTCCTAGCATTATGGTCCGAAAAGGTGCTTGATATGATTTCAGTCTTCTTAAATTTATTGAGGCTTGCCTTGTTTCCCAACATGTGGTCTGTCCTTGAGATTGTTCCATGTGCACTTGAGAAGAATGTGTATTCTGCTGATTTTGGATGAAGTGTTCTGTATATCTGTTAAGTCCATGTGGTCTAGTTTTTCGTTTAAATCCACTATTTCCTTGTTGACTTTCTGTCTGGATGATCTATCCATTGATGTAAATGGGGTGGTAAGGTCCCCTACTGTTATTGTGGTGTTGTTAATATCTCCTTTTAGGTTTGTTAATAGTTGTTTCATGTACTTTGGTGCTCCTGTGTTGGGTGCATATATATTTATAAGTGTTATGTCTTCTTGGTGCAGTGTCACTTTTATCATTATATACTACCTCTCTTTGTTTCTCATTACCTGTTTTATCTTGAAGTCTACTTTGTCTCATATAAGTATGGCAACACCTGCTTTCTTTTGTTTGCCATTAGCTTGGAGTATCATCTTCCATCCGGTCACTCTGAGCCTGTGTTTGTCTTTAGAGCTGAGATGTGTTTCCTGGAGGCAGCATATTGGTGGGTCTTGTTTTTTAATCCATCCCACCACTCTGTATCTTTTGATTGGAGAATTCAATCCATTTACGTTTAGAGTGATTATTGATACATGAGGGCTTAATGCTGCCATTTTATTCTCGTTTTCCAGTTCTGCATTTCCCTTGTTTCTCATCCCATGTCTTTCGGACTACCAATTCAGTTTGGTGGCTCTCTATGATGGTTTTCTTAGTTTTCTATTTATTTATCGTTTGTGTCTCTGTTCTGATTTTTTGTTTAGTGGTTACCATGAGGTTTGTGCAAAAAGTCTCATAGATGAGATAGTCCATTTTCTGATAGCCTCTTATTTCCTTAGACTAAGTTAATTCCATCTCTTTCCTCTTCCCCTTCTGGGTTATTATTGTCACAACTTATTCCATCTTGTGTTGTTAGTTTGTGGTTAAAATGACGAGATTATATTTATTTTTGATGTTTTCCTTCCCTTTATCTTTAATGTTATAATTAAGTGTTTGCTAATCTGTTCTGATAGAGAGCTGCAATTTTCTGATTTTGTCTACCTATTTATCTCCTTGCTCAAGGCCTCGTAAACTCTTTCTTTTTTTTTTCAGGTATGAGGGCCTTCTTGAGTGTTTCTTGTAGCAGAAGGTCTTGCAGTGATGAACTCCCTTAGGTTTTGTTTATCTGGGAAAGTTTTTATTTATTCATCATATCCAAAGGATATTTTCACTGGATAGAGTATTCTTCGCTGAAAGTTTTTGTCTTTCAAAATTTTGAATGTATCATTCCACTCTCTTCTAGCCTGTAAGGTTTCTGCTGAGAAATCCCTTAAAGCCTGATGGGGGTTTCTTTGTAAGTTATTTTCTTCTGCCTTGCTGCCCTTAATGTTTTTTCTTTGTCATTGACTTTTGCCAGCTTTGCTACTATATACTTTGGAAAGGGCCTTTTTACATTGATATAATTAGGAGTTATAATAGCCTCTTTCATTTGTATTTCCAGCTCCTTCCCCAGGCTTGGGAAGTTCTCAGCTATTATTTCATTGAGCAACCTTTCTGCTTCATTCTCCTTCTCTTCTCCCTCTAGAATACCTATAATCCTTATGTTACATTTCCTAATTGAGTCGGCTATTTCCCAGAGAATTTCTTCATTTCTTTTTTAGTCTTAGTTCTCTCTCCTCCTCCATCTGAAGCATTTCTATATGTCTGTCCTCCAGACTGCTGATTCTCTCCTCCATAATATCAGCTCTGTTATTCAGGGAATCCAGATTTTTCTTTATCTCATCCATTGTTTTTCATCTCCAACATTTCTGATGGATTTTTCTTTATCATTTCAATCTCTTTTGTGAGGAGTTCCCTCTGTTCATTAATTTTGTTTCTGATTTCATTGAACCGTCTATCTGTATTTTCTTGTAATTCGTTGAGTTTTTTTATGATACCTATTTTGAATTCTCTGTCATTTAAATTATAAATTTCTGTGCCTTCAGGATTAATTTCTGGGTGTTTGTCATTTTCTTTCTGGTCTGGAGTATTAATATATTTTTTCGTACTGTTTGATGGCATGGATTTGTGCCTCCGCATAGTGATAGTATTTAGTCACAGAGTCCACCTGCCACCACTCCTTCTACTTCCTCCGGGGGGTCCAGCACCTCCACCTTCATACATATGGCTGCGTGGGTCTCTCAGGCTTCTTTTGTGTTATGTGAATGTCCTCTGTTGGTATATGAATGTCCTTTTCATTGTATCTTATGGGGAGAGAGTCTAAGGGAAGAGCTCACTCGGCCATGATGCTGAGGCATGGCGCCTGTACCGGCACGGTGCCTGTGCTGGCCCGGCTGAGGAGTCATGGCAGCCCAGAGAGCTCCAGTCCTCACACAGTTAAACCTCTTCCAAGGAGATGCTGAGTCGGCCTGGCATAGAAGCTGAGGAGAGCCCGGGGCCCCCGGGGTGCACAGGCCTCTGGCGAGGTCGTTTGCTGCCCTCTGGCTTCAGCAAGAACAGTCTCCTCCTCCTCCAACCTCCTCACTTGCTCATAGGCTTTTTAATCCTCGTTGTGCCAGATACTGACCTCAAGATAAGTGTATCAATTTGCATCTGAAATGAGAGTATTGCAGGAAGAAAGGTTTTTAAACTGGAATGTTACTTGGTTAAGACCTGAAACCAAATGGTTTCCAGGAAGTCATTGCCTCTATGGTGATGAGGACTGGGTGGCCTCTCTGTGCCCTGAAAGTAAAAGGGACTTCAGCTGCTCCTCGATGGTCCCTGTTAAGAAAAAAAAAAGCCTGTAAATAGGATACTGCCTAATAAAGCAGTCTTGTTTTGCCTAAGTCCACAATTCACACTGTATACTCAGTTTAAAAATTCCCAGAAGCTGAAAACCTCTGAAACCCAAGGGATCCTGGTGAGGACTTGAGCATGCCTGTTTGGGGCTACAGTAGCACCCCATTTATCTGGCATTGTCATGGAATCAATTCTTTCACACATAAGTAAAATTTCAAGAAAATTGAAGCTTTCTCTCTACATCTCCACCCCCATCACCATTAGTGCCTCTAAACTTTAATCATTTTATTGGATTTTTTCTTCAGAATATTTTGTACATGCCTTCTGAGAACCTGGAACTTTAGCAGAAGAACTTCAGCCTTTTCTAAGTGATTTGGGCTTGTCATCTTGAACATTAGTTAATTTAGAGTCCTGTCCTCAAAGGCTCTGCTGATTTCAGACTCTTTGCCCCTTTTCCTGGCATCCTTAGGTGCTGTGGATTTGGTTTCTGTGCTTGCACGTCCTGGTTTTCTCTCCTTACCCATCTCTGCCCATTGTCACCTTTCTTCTCTCCATCCCATTCGTGCCTACCTGAGGCATCCCCTTCCCACCCACCCCGTTTTTTTTTTTTTTTTTTACCTTTTAATTTGAGATGAGTTCATTATAATTTTATCTAAGGAAGAAAAAAAAACAAATTCTGAGAGTAGCTTTGGGATTTTCCCATAAGTGATGCAGAGAAGCTTCATGTCACAAGCAGAGGTTCTTGGATTTCAGATACATAGAGAGGGGCTTTTCTTTGGCCTCTTTCTTTCCATCCTTCTGCCCTGAGTGCCCGCTCAGAACCAAACCTGGAATGACTGAGTAAGTAACCCCTTGATGAGTGACGATGTAAAATCTCAACCCAAGTTTCCTTATGAGTAACATGCAGTTATATATATGGTCTCCTTTCCCCACTGTGTGCATGCTGTGGACACAGGTCTTTTAGAAAGCCCTGCAGAGTGGTTCGTTTGTCTGAAGCCCCATTTCAAGCAGAATGGTACCAGGAAAGCTGTTTTTAAACCATCATGTGTTCTTTGTCTCTTTCACTCACTCACCTCTGGATTTTTTGTGCTTAAAATGCTTAGTTGGAACTTCTTGAACTCAAAAGCCAATGAACTCAAAGAATTAGCTGTGTTAGCAAAAATCTTATAATGAAAACTTTTTTTTTTAAATGAGGCTGGTTGATCATTGGGAAACAATTTCATCATCTGTAAACAAAAACCAAATGAAGGGGGGGATGTAGCTTTGCTTCTCAAACTTTAGGAAATGCCTTGCTTGCCAAGGAACACTTACTTATTGTCCTTTATTGGAGAACTAGACATAGTTGTGGGCATGAGATAGAAAACAGCATACCGCAGATGTCTCTGTGAAGACTGGCCGCACTGCCTCTGTCTGGGCGCGGGGCGCTGGTGCTCACCTTGTTCTCCATTTGCTTGTAGATTGGTGGCGGTGGCCCTCCTGTACCTGGAACAAGAAGATGCTTTCTGGTGTCTAGTTACCATAGTGGAAGTTTTCATGCCTCGAGACTATTACACAAAGACTCTTTTAGGATCTCAGGTACTTCTAAAAATATTGTGCTTCTGTCAGCAACTTGTAGAATTAGACTGGAAATGTGACCTGAATTAAGCCTTGGTGGGGGGAGGCTCCATGTGCGTGGCTTCAGCAACTGACCCCTGAAGAAGGTGCCCAGCAATGCAGGGCATGCCTCGGAGACTGGGCTGGGCTTTTTGTGAGCCAGTGAGTGCCAGGTTGGGCTCCCTTAGTGCACTGGAAGCCAGCAGGTTGATTGTTACATCCCAGTGAGAAATAGGCTGCCCTGTAGACCTCCTATTGGTGGTGCCTGCTCAGCACCCTCTCCCCTGGTCACAGCCTGCCTGGCCAGCTAAGCCACAATTCAGGGGTGCTTGGGGAGCCTGGTGTGTTAGCTCAGGTTCTCCAAGAAGCAGACGCCAAGGAAGGAGTAGATGTGCAAGAGATTTCTGAGGGTAAACACCTGTGAAGGACCAAAGGGAGGGACCAGGGAAGGCCAGGAGAACCCCCAGACCAGAGGAAGGAAGGAGGCTTGGGTGGGAAGGGTCTCAGACTACTGTGTGGTTCTGAGAAAGTTTTGGCAAGGCCAGTGGGGAATCCTCAAGCCAAGGTCACCTGTTAAAAGGCGCACACATCTCATGAGAATGGGCTACGTTAGTGCCCCTGCCATGCTCCCTCAGTGGCTGGGAGCAGCCAGTGGGCAGAAAGCTTATGCAAACGAATGCAGTGATGGATCCAGAGGGGCAGTGCTGGGGCTGTCAGTCACCTCTTGCAGCAGGAAACCTGAGCAGTGTAGGTCATGCCCACCACACCTAGAGTCTGACGCCAGGGGACAGGGTCGGATGACGTGGATTGGGAGAGCCCAGAGTTTCAGTCTCCACTTGGGACAGTCCCGGCTCTGGACGAGACCCTTGGTCCTTGCGGCCCAGGGCATCTCTTCCCTAGGCTGGGCTGGGGCTGCTGCCATCGCTGGCTTCCATGATGGGCTTTCCCCACTTTCCTGCTGGCAACCCTTTTCATGTCTGACCTTCGGTCGAGTCCTGCCCCAGGAGCCTTTCTCTCTTTTGACCACAGCTGTGCCTCTCTGTGCTCCGTTGTATCCTCTTCTCTAAGCTCGTGCCATTGAGTGGCCTGCCTGCTCACAGAGCTGCTCCCACCTCCCGCTGCCCTACCCCAAGTCACGAGAGCTCAGCCTACAAGCTGTCTCCCAGCTCCTGCATCGGCCAACGGAGGTACTGGCAGAAAACTAGAGGATGGCAGGAGGAGAGCTGAAGGTGGTTCTCTCCCTCTCTGTCAGGGGCACTGCCTCTCGGTGGCTTTATCTCCTCCATGGCGCCAGCTCCTGTCTGGCGGGTCCTCCCTGCTCCAGCCTGGGGTGGCTTCCTGCCCTTGCTTCAGGCTGGGCATCGGCTGTTTGGCTTCTCAGCTTTTCTGTCACCAGTGTGACAATCTCCCTGGGTGGCTTCTTTTGCCTGGTTGGGCCCTGACTGAGTTTCATGTTATATTTGCATTTCTGTGTTTGGTGACTCTCATTATTGCCTTCTGTCACCACCTGTACTGCCCACCCCACTAGGTCCCCAGGCCAGAAACTTGCGTCAGCCTGGACAACTCCTTGTTCCTCTCCCTCTGTGTCCCCGTAGTTGCATTTATCACTGCCACCTGCTGGCGGCTCTCATGTCTGTTCTCCCTTCATCGCCCTCACCACTGTGAGGGTGCCATCCCCTCTCCTACGCCATTGCAGTTGCCTCCTGCCCTCATCACCCCCCTCTCCAGTTCCCCATCCATCTCACTCACAGATTCAGCCATGTCCCTGGCTGCTGAGCTCCCAGGGCTTCTTAAGGCCTTCAGGGTAAAGCCCAGGGCCCTCCGTCCACGCCCTGACACTCCCCGCCCACTGGGCAGCCGGAAGCACAGTGTGATAGAACACTTGTTCTCTGGTCCTGCCCTGCCCTCTGTGTACTTTTGATACGTAACACTGCCTCTACCTAGAACACTGTCGCCCTCCTAAAAAGCTGCTGCCCAGCCTGCGCTCATAGGCCACTTCCTCTGTGACGTTTTCCTGGCCTCCCAAGGCCGACGTCACGGCCCCACTTCTGTTCCTGCTGCTCTGGGAGACACAGGCCTCGGTGGTAGCCATTATCTCACTGGATTATCCTTGTGTGCCTGCTCGTTTTCAGCTAGTCCTCAGTGCCTTGAGGGCTGCGGCCCTGTCTTGCATTTTAGTAGCCTTAGCACTCAGTACAGCAAGTGTCTGAACTAACATGAGCTCTTTGACTAGGGGAAGGGAGCTGGCATTTAAGGAGCCTGAGCCCCATGCCAGCAGCTGTGCAGCTGCACAAAGCCATACGAGTGGAGGCATCATTGTCCCCATTTCACTTGGGAGAAAACTGGGGATCATAGACACTGAGCAACTTGCCTGAGGTGCCACCACTGAGGGCCCGAGCTGGGGTGTGGTCTCAGACCTCTGCGGCTCTGGGCCCAAGGGCCCCCTCTGCCCACTGTCTCCTAGAACACCACAGAAGGATGGCGGGAGGGGGCTGAACTCTGGCCTTCCTGGGGAGTGGGCTTTTCTCCCCTGCCTCCCTGTCCCAGCTTCATGGATGTGGACTGATCCCAGGGAAAGCTCATCTGGTCTCCCTGTGATCACTTCACTTTGTTAATTAACCTAGAGATTATTTTTTGTCAAACTGGTGTGTAAACTAGGAAATGAAGAGCAGTGGGAAGAGGCAGCAGTCATAGTTGGGTGTGAATAGAGGTCAGTAAAAAAAGTTTTATGTATTTATGGACACCTGGAAGCTAAGAGCTTTAAAGACTCAAATTTAAAATCTCAGGTGACTCAGCATTTCCGAATAAGAAAAATGAAGCATTGATCTTTCTTAATTCCCTTGAGCTATCTTATCGTTGAGCACATTGGTCAGGAGCTTGGGCTGAGGGTCACATGGCTGGGTCAGAAGAGAGGCTCTCCCTTCTGTGAGCTTTGAAGCTTTGCTGCATCACTTAACATCTCTGTGCCTCAGTTTCCCCATGTGTAAGATGAGCACCATTCTCCCCTCATATACAGTGTTCGAGGTTGAATTCAGATGATGCATTAAGAGTTTAGTGTAATGTTTAGAACATTGTAAAAACTCAGTAAAGTTATTATTAATAGTTATAGGCAGAAGGGGAAAATCTATTTAAGTATGGGGATTTAAGATAAAATTTGCATCGTGTTGTCGCACAAACATAAATGTATACTCTAAGGAGACTTTTTTACTTCTGATTATAAAAGTAATAAATGCTCATGAAGGAGAAGTTAGGTAATATAGAAATATATTAAGAAAATGAAAACCATCTGTTATCCTATGAGGTGGAGAACACAGTTAGCATTTTGGTATATTTCTTTTTTTGCTTTATTCCCCTAATACATTTAGGTATCCAAGTTGAGAGCATGATGTATTCAGGCTGGTTCACATGATAGCATGAGCATTTTCCCCTGTCATTATATACTTTTTAACTGTTGTATTTGGTGGCTATAATATTCCATCAGGTGCATGCATATAAATATTTAGCCGTTCTCTTATGATTGATGTTGCATAAGGCTACTCTTAAAATGTGCAGTCGGGGTCCAGCCCAGTGGCATAGTGGTTAAGTTTGTGCGCTCCGCTTCAGTAGGCCGGGGTTTGCAGGTTAAGATCCTGGGCGCAGATCTATACACCGCTTATTAAACCATGCTGTGGCGGCATCCCATATAAAGTAGAGGAAGATGGGCACAGACGTTAGCCCAGGGCCAATCTTCCTCAGCAAAAAAAAAAAAAAAAAAAAAAGGAGGATTGGCAACTGATGTTAGCTCAGGGCTAATCTTCCTCAAAAAAAGAAAAAGAGCATTTGGCCCCCAGCACTGTGCTTTGCAAATCCCTGTCAAACCACCTCCTTCCAGAACCAAGTGCCCGAGTCCCTTGCCCACTGCTGCTGCAGTCCAGATGCCTGGCAGCTTTTCCATCCGTTCCATCACTTGAGTGCACATTGTACGCCAGGACCTTCCTAGGTGATGAGGACACAGAGATGAATGATAGTCATTCCACGTCCTCCTGAGCTCAGAGCAGGAGGGGGCTGAACAGAGGCCCGAGCAAGCATTCCCTGCCAAGCACTGGGCAGCCTCAAGAACAAGGCACCGTCTGCCACCTAACTGGGAGGAGAGGTGTGTGCATGGGTCTTCTCCCACTTTAAGGCCAGCCTACTGGTCCCTTCCTCTCAGGTGTCTTCAGCCTAGACTCTCCAGGCAGAATGAATCATGTCGCCATCACTTGGTCCTGTGGTCAGCTGTCCATCTCCCCTGCCAATTTACAGCCCCTTAAAGGCAGCACCTGGTCCCTGTCGTCTGTTATCCTCAGCTCTGGCCAGTGCCAGGCATGAAGTGTGTGCAAATACATAGTCGGCATTTGAATGTTGAGGGCGAAATAACAGCAGCAGAAAATGAGTGCCGTCACTAGTGAGCGGTGCTGACCTGCCGTGAGAGGAGCGGGCTTCCAGAGGGGCTGACCGAAGAGCACGTGCAGGCGTGGTTGGTCATGACAGCTACCTTGCGTGCACCCTCAGATGGTTTTGCAACTTGCCTTTGTCCGCCTATCAGAATTTTATGGGGGTGGGAGTGGATGTGGATGACAAGGTGAGAGGCTGATACTTTTTACACACCATGGGAAAACGGTTTTATAACTTCTTATGCACTTTTGTTTGTTTTTTAAATCTTTTAAGAAAAATTAATTATAATTCATTTCAGCCAGTTTAGAACTTTGAAATTTTGTCTCTTGTTCTAGTCAGAAAGTAAACTGGTCAAAAATGTATGTTTCCAACCATGATTCCTGTATTTTATTGTCCTTTATGCACCCGACAGTGACTTTACAGCTTTTTAGAATTTTTTGTAGAAAACAATTTTTTTAGTTTAAGTTACTTTGTCTTTTAAAATTTTAAATTTCAACCAGTAATGCTTACTTAGGAACTTATATGACCTGATTTTTTAAGCATTTTTGATTGTCAAGGCTTCTATATTAAACAAAACAAAACCAAACCACCTTCCAAACAGGAGAAACAATTGAGTTTTTTAAAATTTTGAATTGTTCTAAAAAATAACGTTTAAAAATGTCATTTTAACATTTATCTAGATTGTTTTTAGTTATTTTAGTATTCCAGTAATCCCAAGAATTATCACACCTTTTATCCTAACTTGACTGATGTGCATTTCAAAGTTTTACAGGTGTTTTGGGGATTCAGTCCTAGGAGTAGACTTGCTGTAGGGTGTGTGTGTCTCCATATTTTCTGGGTGTTGCCCGATTGCCCTCCCAAAGGTCGCAGTAGTTTATACTCCCACTAGCAGTGTACGAGAGGACCTCCTGTGTGGCTCCTGGTTTTCACAGACAGTTCAGGGAAGACTAATGAGATTGACAGACTTCACATGCAGTTGCTCTTCGTCACCATCGCCTTCTTCCCTGGACCACCTGGCCTGGCCCATTGTGCATTTGTGGCTTGCCCTCCTCAGCTGCTCTCTCTCCCTCGTGGTTTCACCACTCACCTCTGGTGACATCTCACTCCACCCAGGCCTCCCCTGGAGCCTCAGCCTTGGTCTCTGGTGCCTGCAGGTATCCTGATAGAGGTGCCCCTCGGGCACCAGCACGTCCCAGTCTCCCCCAGCCCAGCCCTTGTTCCTGGATCTGTCCTCCCCATGCCCCAGGGGGGAAGCCTGCACTTTCTGAGCACCTCCTTTTCCTTACCTCTGTCAGCAAGGGGGTTTTTAGGTCCTCCCGACTTTACCTCCACATAGTTCTGATCCACATGCTTCTCTCCTCCCCATCACCTTTCCTTGGTTCAGATTTTCGTCACCTCCATCCTGGGCCGCGGTGGGGCCTCCACGAGACCCCTGTCTCTAGCCTTGCTTCCCCTGCAGCTCAGCCCCCTGTTGCAGGCGGAGAGACGGATCTGAGGTGCAAGTCCAGTGCATCACTCTCCTGCTGCAAGCCTCTTCATGCTTCTCATTGCCTGCTGCGCTTTTCACACATGGGTAGAGAAGTTGATTTAGTGGGTTGGCACTAGCTTGTTTTTTTCCATCAAATGAAGCTGAATAGACCAGAATTGAAAGCATCAAAGTGTGTCCTACTGTGTGAGGTTAAATATTGTTTTATGAAACCTTTGTTTCAGTTTTATGCATACACACAGAGAGGTGCTGACTAGGCGATGACGGACGTATGTTTTCTTGTGGGTCCCAGGCGAAGGCTGGGAAAGCCCCTGGCCTGTAGACGATATCTGCTCCTCAGTGTGGTGTAGTGGCTTCTGCCAGGCTGTGCTGCCTTCCTCACACCCCTCCTGCCCAGAAGCCTGTGCTCCTGCCATTGGTGCTGTTTCTCCCCCAGGCATGGCTGGGACCCATCCATGGGCTCTGTAACGCTCTATGAACACATCTTTATCAGAGCCCTGACCACAGCTATTACAATAGTCCATATGTGTGACATCCCCACTCATCTTTTAGCTCCTTGAGGTCAGGGCTAAACCTGATTCAACCTTCTGCCCAGCACTGGCCCCGTGCCTGACAAAGAGCATGGAGGGGTAATAGCCACCTGTTTTTGATAGGTAGTTTATATAAGTCTCATGTAATCCTCACAACAGCCCTGTGAGAGAGAGATCATTAACTGTTTTCCAGATGAGGCACAGAATTGTCTAGAACATAATTTGCCTAAGGCCACCCAGCTAGTAAGTTGGTAGAGCTGAGATTCAAACTCAGGTCCGTCTGACTCTGGAGCCCTGCCTACCCTCACTGCATCGCACAGCCCAGTTAATATTTGTTGAAAAGACATGGTGATGTCACACTTCCTTTTTGGCCCAGGACTTGGGTTTATGACCCTTTGTAGCAGCATCCCCTGTATTTACAAATGGATGAGCAAGGCTGACTATTCCACTGGCTCTTTGCAGCAGCCTGTTTTCACAGGGCATTTTGAGTATAGGAGTGGGTTTCAGGCCATAGAACCCTCTCCCCCGTGCCCTGTGTAGAGAGTGAGTCAGTGGCCCTGTGATGAGCACCTGCAGCGTGTGAAGGCAGCTGCTTCTGGGGCACAGAGTAGTCTGCTCTGGGGTGAGCCCACCATGCATTTAGAGCACTGCAATGGGCCTGCACCCCCAAGCCCCACATTGCTTGTTCCATGCTATGGCGGGCCTGATACACTTCTCTTTGCTCCCTCTCCAGGTGGACCAGCGAGTGTTCAGAGACCTCATGAGTGAGAAGCTGCCACGACTGCACGCCCACTTTGAACAGTACAAAGTTGACTACACCCTCATCACGTTCAACTGGTTTCTGGTGGTGTTTGTGGATAGTGTCGTTAGTGACATCCTCTTTAAAATATGGGACTCTTTCCTTTATGAGGGACCAAAGGTGAGTCTGCTCGCTGGATGACTGTGTGAGTAGCCTCCGTGGTGGCAGAGTGGCGGGCTCACCTAGGACACGTGGAGGTTACCACGGGGCCAGAACTATCCCTGCACCGTGTGCTGCTGGAGACGGGTCTGAGGTCCAGGAAACAGGAGTTATTTGCTGGTTCATCAAAAACAGTTAGTCTGTGCCAAGCCCAGTACCAGGCACGGGGGCTCTCATGGTTTGCAGTCTGAGCCTCACCATCTGTCAAATGGATGGCAGTCTCATCCCCATGGTATGGATGAGGAGGTGGAGGCCCAGAGTAAGCAGAGGATCAGGGACAGATGCAGGAGGCCAACCTCAGAGCCTTACTGCCCACAAGCCTCCCACCCCGTCTCTCTTATGTTTCTAAAAAATCAGTTTGTGAATAAGTAACACATGATAAACTCAGATCATGTAACTAAGGCCCACGTAAAGGAGGTCCCCAGTCTCCTACTGCTCTTCTTAACTTACTATATGTCCTTCTCAGGGTATTTATGTCTGTCTAAGACATGTTTCTTTAGCTTATTATATGTTGGAGATAGTTCCATATCAGAGCATATAGATCTGGCTCTTGTTTTTTTTTTTTGACTCTGCATAGTATCTCCTTATACAGGTGAACCAGAAATTTATATAATAGCCCCCTGATAATGGACAATTACCTTGTTTCCAGTCTCTTGCCACTTCAAACCGTGCTGCAGTGACTCTCCTTCTAGTTATGTCTTTCTACCCATGTGCAAGTGCATCTGTAGGTTTAGTCCTAGGAGTGGAAGTGCTGGGTCAGGGGTAAATCCATCTGTAGTCCTCACCAAGAATGCCAAATTACCCTGCAGAGGGGCCTTACAATTTATACTCCCGCCAACAAAGGTTGAGTGTGTATATTACCCCACACTCTGTCCAACATGGTATGTTATCAACTTTTTAATCTAGTCTGTCATTATTAACAAGAATTCTCAACCAGGGCTTAGACAGTGTTTCCTGTTGGGCCATAGGTAGGGATGTTAAGAGAAAGATAACCTATTTAAACTCTGTGAATATTGCTTTCTAAATAAGAGAAAGTGCAGGTTGGTGCAGGCTAGCTGAGGCCCTCAGATATGGGCAAAGCAATTTGTTCCAAAGCTGCTTGAACTTGCAAGACCACCAGGATTACATTCCCTCTAGCCTCAAACACCGTGCCCCAAAATAAATTGGTAAAAAAAAAAATTTATTCTCTTCCACCATATTCAAAAGTCAGTAATTCAGATCCTAGTTTCACTAGTTGAAATAAAAACTGCCTCTAAAGGTGGTCCTTTCTAAGAGTTTCAGAATCCAAGGCCCCTGGTTTCGATTTTATTGAAAAATTATTTCTAGTTCTGTAAACTTTATTGACTAGAAATGTTAGCTGAATATGGAATGATTTCACAAAGGTTCTACTCCATAAGGAAAGTTTTGGTGTTGGCTGAAGTGTTGTTGAAAACCACCAGACAGTTACTTTTTCTGTAAGAAAGGGGCCTTGCCCCCAACAGTGGAAATTGCACCTCAGGTCAAGTGTCTGCCCCAGGGTGGGGCCCATGTCAGCTGATCCCCAGGGCCCCGGGGAAGCCTGCACGCCCTGGAGCTGGTGCCTGGGGCCTCAGTGCTTTTCTCCTTAAAGATTCCCCTGTCTTTTCCACAGGTTATTTTCCGTTTTGCCCTGGCACTTTTTAAATACAAGGAAGAGGAGATCCTGAAATTGCAAGATTCAATGTCTATCTTCAAGTATCTCCGTTACTTCACTCGCACTATTCTTGATGCTAGGTGAGTCCCTGGGGGAGTTCCCAGACGTCGCGGAGGGCAGGCATCCTGACCTCTGCTTCCTTGAGAACAGTCCTCGCATGTCAGACTCAGCCCTCCCAGGTGTGCAGTATGAGAGAGGGAGTTTCCTTCCAGGGAAGTGGGGGACGAGGGTGACACCAGGTTGCCTCCACACTAGGGAGGAACTAAGGTGAAAGATGGTTTTATCTAACCAACCTAAGTCCCAACAGCCAAAGCAACATTTTTATTTGTCTAACAAGCATTCACTGAATATCAATGACGTGGCAGGCCCTCTGCCAGGCATTGATGATGATAGATGAGGAAGAGCTCCTGCCCTTGAAGAACTTGTGGGGGGAAATGTTACAGCATCCTTTGATCAGTGCTGTGATGGAGGAAGCCCAGGCCAGGGGCGGGTCAAGTGCAGGAGAAAGGCTGTGTGAACTGGGCTAGGAAGGGGCAGGAGGAGAGGGCATCCTGAGCAGAGGGAACTTCAGGAGCAGCACACAGAGATGTAGGAGCAAGTGTGTTTGGGTAACTATAGAAGTGGTTCGGCCAGGGTGGGGCTGGTGTGGCAGTGATGGAGGCCGGGCTGAAGCAGAGCTGGGCTGTTGAGTTAAGGCCTTTGTAGAGTCTGCCCAGGACTTTGTGCTTCATCCTAAGAGTGCTGGGAAGTCACTGCAGGGTCAGACAAGAAAGCTGGAGCAGGACTGGCAGCTGGGAGACCAGGGGGTCGGTCCAGGTGAGAAGGGTGGTGGCCTGGAGCGAGGTGCCCCCAGAGATGGGGCAGAGGGGGCAGATTGAAGAGAGTGGAGGAGGAATTTGAACTTGGAAGACACCTGGCTTCCCCTGGGCAGCCAAGTGTTTGGGATTCATTTTACCCTTCTCTCCCCAGCCATGTGGTTATTGCCTATTCTGGGCCACCCTTGTCCATATGTCCCCGGGACCACAGCTGGCCCTGGCAGCCGAGGCCCCATTCTCCAAGGGGATTTCTGTGGACCTGCTGCTTGCTGAGCAAGTGAGGATAGCCTCTCTCTCTGAACCATCGAGGTGGTGTTAGAATCCACTGTTGCCGAGGGGCTATGAGCTGCCTCTCCCTGCAGGGGAATGGATTCCTGCATCAGACTTGGGCACCTATGTGAAAACCACACGAGTCCTTTCACTGAAAAATATTTGGGGCTTATTAATGTTTTTCAAACTTTTTGACTGCAACCCATAATAAGAACAACATTTTATCTGCCAATCTAGGACACACATATTGGCGCATAGATAATTAAAACAAAAGAATTTGTTGAAATATTTGTGGTTCTTGCTAAATATCTGTGTTGTATGCTCTGCTGTTTTCATGAGGTTCCATATCACATATTTAACATGCTTGTCATGCCTCACTAAATTGATTCCTCGATCCACTAATGGGTCACAACCTACTTGGAAAATGCTGGTTGCCGCCTTGTTCAGCTCACTTGACAGTGAGGGAGGGCTCAGCCAGGAGGAGCTGCAGGGCATCGGTGCTGCGGGAGTCTTGGGGCTGGAGAGCATCTAGGGCCAGAGAGGTGGGGCTGAGGACCACATGGAAAGGCCGTGCCCTGTGGTTCTATTGAGCAAGGCCTTGGGTACTGGGGAGGTGGACATTGGGAGCAGAAGGTGCTGGCTGAGGCCATACCTGGCTTCCTAGAAGTCACCACTATTTTTAGGACCTTTTACCTGGGAAGTGGATTTTTTTTTTTTTTCCTGAAGAAGATTAGCCCAGGGCTAACATCCGTGCCCATCTTTCTCTATTTTGTATATGGGACACCACCACAGCATGGCTTGATGAGTGGTGTGTAGGTCTGCACCTGGGATCCAAACCTCTGAACCCCAGGACGCTGAAGCAGAACATGCGAACTTAACCACTGCACCACCAGGCCGGCCACAGGAAGTGGATTTTTAAGATATTTTCAGGCTTATTGATATATCAACAGTGACCCAAGTTTTGCCAAATGAAAAAGGATATCTGAGAATGAGGTTTGCCTGTGAAAGACTGATTCTGAGTGAGCCTTGAGAGTGTTCATTAATCTCCCATTGGGTCAAGATTACATGAATGGCATTAAATGAACTTCACTCCAACTAACGTGTGTTTAGAGCATTTTGGTTCCAAAGGTCCATCCTGCTTGGCCCCTGACAGTCTTAGGCGGATTGTTGGTGCTGCCAGGGTGGCACAGGTGCGAGGGGGTGCTGGCCTGGTGGGCGGCCGCCCAGTCAACCGGCCCCTCTCCTGTCACCACAGGTGCTCCTGCAGCAGCACCTTGTCAGGGACTCTCGGTGCAGTTTCCCTACCAGTCTGCTTTAGGAAGTCCAGGTCCACTGGACCAGGGGTTCCCAAGTGCATTAATGAGCCGGGCCAGCTGCAGCAGGACCACCCAAGGGTCGTTAAGACTGCAGATGCCCAGGCCCCAGTACTTTAATCAGCTCCCTAGACTAGCGGTTCCAAGGAACACCAATTCTGCAGTACATTGATTGGTTCTACAAAAAAGGGAATTCTGAGTCAGATGTGTTCTGGGGATGTTGGATTAAACAAGGTGAAACCGGCCTCTGAATCAGGACTTCTGGGAGTCTTTAATGTGCCAAGCATTGTCTTCTAAACTTAGTTGACCACAGGGCACTTTCTCATCTCTTGACTGGACCTTCCAGGCCCGAGGCAGAGGCAGTGTGTAACTTCCTGTTGTACCCCTGCCTGGGCTGAGAGGCTGCAGTCAGCGATGACTGACTGAAGGAGTCAGTGAAAATATTAATTTGAGTACTTCCTGTGTTTGCTCTCTGTGGCAAAGAAGGGGCTGGACACTCTAGGTTTCAGGTGTGTAGAAACAGCCATGGGAGAAAAAGGGCTGGTGGTATGGCCCTGGTGCCCAGGCCCCGGCCAGCCGAGCTGAGCAGGAGGCAGAATCTGATAAACTTGCACTGAGTGATGTCCATGTTCAGGCCTCTCCTGTTCTCCTGTGTTCTGGAACACACTCTGGGGAACGCAGCATTTACAGACGGCCTTTCTGACCTTCTACCTCCGTGCAGGAATCCTCTAGCTTGGAGTGAGGCATATCTAAGGAGTAGGTGTTATAAAATATAAAAGGGAGAGATGCTAAAGGCTTGTGTGTTCTTACCTCACCTTAAAGTAGCCCAAGTGACTGACTAGTGGCAGGAGCAGGTTTGTTTTCTGACAGAGGGAGAGGAAGCCCCTGGTGACAGTTCTGTTTCCTCACAGCCTTTCCTGGGGTTTGTAAGTGTACCGAGCCTCTGGTCTCTGCCGCTGGGAAGAGAAGCATCGGGGGCCTGCGGCACTGGGGGGATAGGGGGCCCTAGTGTTGGAGGAGCCAGCTTCTGTTGTGACCCCCAGACGGCTGTGCTGACCTGATTATGCTGGAAATCCATAGCCAGGCCTTGGGGCACTTTTTAGTTAGGTTTTTATTAAACTGCCAGCCAGCGGTTAGGGGCAAGTTACCATGATTTTTAAGTGTTTATTGTAGATTGGTGCCTTGAGCTGGGGATAGTGTGAAACCCATAAACTGCGCATTTCTCCCTAGGCTGTCTCTCGACCCTTGTCACACTGCTGACTGGGTCTGACAGTTATCACCGAGTTTGCTCGGGCCTCTGTTCATTCCCCGTCAGTCAGTCCCGTGACAGAGTCTTCCTGAATGCTCCCTGTGCCAGGCCTCGTGCTGGTTCCAAGGACTCAGAGGCAGGCCGGCCCCTGTGATCACTGAGCAAGTGCCAGACGCTGTCCTAATGCTCACGGGTGGCAACTCAAGTGCCCCCACGCCCTAGGAGGTGGCACTGCTATTATCCCAGAGTACTGATGAGGAATTGGAGGCTGGAAGGGGGAGTCACTTCACCCGTCACGTGTCACACAGTCAGCATGTTGGGGAGCCCTGCCCCTGTAGCCTCTGCACAAGGAGGACTGGCCCCTGAGTGACATACCTACATCAGGCCCTTAGCATGGTACCAGGATCCACCTCTCTACGCCCCCCAGGCCTCTGAGCTGGGCTGAAGTGAGGGCTGTGTGTGAGCACTCGCCTGAGCCCCCTGACACTCTTGCTCTGTCCTCTGTCCTGCCAGGAAGCTGATCAGTATCTCCTTTGGGGACCTGAACCCATTCCCCCTGCGCCAGATCCGGAACCGGCGCACCTACCACTTGGAGAAAGTCCGGTTGGAGCTGACAGAACTGGAGGCCATCCGGGAGGACTTCCTGCGTGAACGGGACACCAGCCCTGACAAGGGTGAGCTGGTCAGCGATGAAGAGGAGGACACCTGATGGCCCCCTGCCCACACTGCTGCTCTTCTTGCCTTCACAACCAAAGTGTGCCAAAGGGCGAACTGCAGAGATGTCTTTGCTCATTTAAAAGCCAGAATGTAACACTCGTGGCCTCTGGAAATCTGCTGGGCAGATGTCCAGGTCACACTGCACTTTCTCCTTTCCACCCGGGGGGAGTCTGTTTACAGCCATCGGCAGGCCATGGCATTTGGTCACACATATCCCCGTCGTGCTTTCTGACTGATGCTGCATCATCAGGCTTGCGGTTCACTATTTTCAGGAGCCTGTTTATAGCACGTCAGTCACGTTGGTCTTTGCCTTTAGAAACCCTTACGTGGGCCGTCTCCCCGTGTTGTTTCCTGTATAGTAGGCAGTTGTGGGCATCTTTTGATTGGTGGCACTGTGGAGGATGCCCACTGCACTCAGACACTCCTAGGCCAGAGTGTGGCTGCTTCAGGTGGCAGGAGGTTGGTGTGAAAAGAGAGACTTCCTTAGGAAAGCAGGTATATCCCTTTTCGGGAAAGGCCTAAAGAAAGCCTACAAACCTTCTGCTGGTGGCTCCAAGCTGCCAGCCATGCCGTTTCTGGAATAGCTTTTGCCCTTTCACGCAACCTTTCAAACAGTGGCTCCCAACCTGCTTGGGGAGGGCCTGGCTCTCCAGACACCCCACACTCGCTTCTCTTCACCAGCTGGTGCTGGCAGATTGTTGAGCAGTTCTGCTCCCCACCTGGCACGGCTCCGTGAGGTTCTGTGGAAAGCTCTTCTTTCCATCCGATAGTTGACTCTTAGAATCATTCTCCACGTCTAGATGGGGTGGGATTCCAAGGAAACTGTGGATCATCATCCTGCAAAGCAGGCCCACCCCTGGGCAGGCCTTGGTTGAGGGGACAGAGAGCTTTTCTAGGGGTGCTTTGCAGGGCAGCAGTGCAGCTCTCGAGTGACCGCAGTGGAGCAGCCAGAAACCAGTGCTCCTGGTGTCGCCTCTGCCTGGCTGGGATGGCAGGAGGCTGGCTGCCAGTGCCGAGGCCTGGGAAGTGCCTTTGCTTGAGGCCAGAGCTTTGGTGACCCCTCCTAGATGGGTCTCCTCCGACTGCCGCCCAGAAGCATCCTCGTTCTTGGCGCTGTCCTCCCCTTCCCCAAGGCAAGCGTGGTGCTCACTTGGGGTCACCATTGCCACCAGAGGGTCCGGCTGCCCAGGTAGTTCTGGGGACTCAGAGCACTACCTTTGTGAAGCCCTGAAAGGAGGCTCTGCACAAGGAAGGTTATTTTTGCTTAATCATTCTGTGCACCATTCCTAATGTGTAGATGTGAGAGAATGTTTTCTGGCACAGTATTATTCAAATAGGAAACAAATAATTTTAAATGGAATTTTTTACACTACCTGGAAAAAATTGGAAATAATCCTTAGTTGATATCTTAGCTAAACATACTCAGACTAAGAACTGAAGCAGTGTAATTTGAAGAAGTGCTTTTTCCATAAGTATGGTTTTCCTGTTCATTACTGTCAACCTTCTAGCAGTACATAGCTAGGCTGGCATTTCAAGACTAGACCAAGCTCAGCTTTTCTGTCTTAAGTTGGGAAATTTGATCTTGCACTGTGTAGAGGGAGCCGGTCTCTATATTTAGCCAAAAGCCTTTGTCTCTTTTCAGGTATCAAAAATGTGTTCTATCATTGTTTTGTCTTTGGGAGCAGCTGTTGGTCTCACTCCTTCAGGAAGTTGCCCTGTAAGTTGGGTTGCTCTGAGATGGGTGTTGCAGCCTCACTACTAGTCACAGACCCCCACAGGACCCCTGGGTCTGCTGGAGACCCCCGCCACGCCCCCACCTCCCACATGGGCTGTCAGCCACAGAGATACAGTCACAATGGGGTTGGGGTCTCATGGATCCCCTCCAGCTTCCTTCAGACTTCAGTTTCCAAGTTGATTTCCCCCTGGAACTGCCATGGCCCGAGGCTAAAATGCCGCCTTTAGGAATAGGCTTGTTTTGTCCTGAAAAGACGCACCTTAAAAGCACCTAAATTGGGCCCAGTGCCCACTGTGTGTGGCTGGAGCCCGGATTTCTGCCGTTCCCAGAGCGGCAGCAGTGTGTTAATATTTCCAGGCAGTTGTTAGCAGCCGGACAGTGGGTGTGAGAGCAGAGAGAGATGTGGAGGAAATGGACTGGGAACACTTTCTTGGAGGTTGTCCTCTCTGAGATAAAGCGCTGGGTGTCCGGAGGGCAGGAGAGGGAATGCTTGGCCTGATTCCAGACTGGGGACAGGATGGAGCCGACTCGCCTCCACACTGCAGGGTCTGGTTCCACTATTCTGATCCAACACTTCCCCTCTCCTTACGCCACTGGGGAAAGAGCTGCTCTGTACCGTCCAGTGCCCCCTCCCCCTGCCCCCTGGGGAGTGCCTCCTCACAGGTGCTCCCTCAGCACCAGCCTGGGAGCCCTGCTCAGGCGCCTCGCTTAGCGGCTGAGGCTGGAGGCCCTGGGGGCTGAGGCACCTCCAGCCTGCTTGCCAGGTACACACCCCACGGCCACGGGGAGCCTCCCTCATCACACCAGCTGGGCATTGCCAGCTTTCCCATTGATGGGTGTTTGTTTTTTATGGATTGAACATCTGTTAATACTTTTGTATATTTTCACTACAGTTTATATTTTTATAGGCTATTTTTATCAAGGTTTTTCTAGATTCTGTACATCTATTTTGTATAACAAATTCTCTCGTGTGCGACTCCCCTGTATTTATGTAAACGTGACCCTCCTGACTTGCTCTTTGTTTCTGTGCCGTCTCTGACCTCCAGCCTTGACCATTACTGACTTGCACTTACGCAGGGCCCCCTTCCTACCCCAGGTAGCCTCTGCTGCTACTTGCAGTCATGCTGACGGCTGTCCAGCAGCAGCCTGGACTGCTGATTGCTGGGAACAATGCTGGTTTCAGCTATATTATATCAATATAGGAGTATTCTAGGCAAATAGCCAGTTTGTTTTCTTTTTTTTAACTAAATGTTTGTATTATTGCACAAATCCCCACCCCTCACTTTGTGTGGTTCATCTTCCTGCGTGTGTTCTGGGCACTAGGGCCTGCCTGGGGCAGTCCTGGCAGGCCGAGGCTGGATGCCAGCCCTGGAGGACTTGAGGGGGCGCTGCCAAGTGACTTCCCTTTTATGTCACAGCAGCTTCTATGCTTTTCTTCAAGTTATTTTGGAATTGTCATACTAAAAGGCAAAATAAATTACTAATTTGTATAATGTTCTGGCTTGAAATGCAGTTATAGTCACTTGTGATGGGCTGGAGGGTGGGGCAGGGCTTATGGGGGCCTCTCCAACCTGCCAGCTGGGTGTTTCTGGGTCCCTGCCGTTGGTTTGCTCTGGGGCGGGTGGGACAGGATGCCTTTGTCTGTGGTGGTAACCCTGAGAGGCCCCAAGAGCTATGGCCGAGCTGCAGGTGAGGGCTGGGGGCACTGAGGTGGGAGCTACAGGGGCCTGGAGCTAGGAGCTGGGGTCTGGAGCAGCCCCCCAGCCACAGGGTGGTAGGCACCCCTCCTTCTACCAGCTGTGACATGCCCTGCTGAGTCATGGGTTGTTTGCCTCCTGCCTGGGCTGACAGCTCAGGCCCAGCTGCCACTGGGGACACCATCCCCCCACCCCCCCATCATCGGAAAAACACCCGAGAATGACTAAGACCAAATGTCTTTCCACGGTGTGGGGGAGGGGGCTCCAGCGAGGATTCCCAGTTAGAGCAGGCGAGGACCTGTGAGCCTGTCTCTCCTCCTGGGACACAGATTCAGCAAGGCTGGGGATTCCTGAGATCACACAGCACAGCAGCAGTGGCAGAGCTGGGACTGGGGACCCCAGGGCTCTGCCACTGTGCCAGCCCCTGCTCACTGTGTGAGTGAGGTGCCAGTAAGCAGAAGCCCTGCTCCCCATCCCTTGTAAGGGGTTGCCGTGTGGACAGTGGGATGCCATTACTCAGATCATGGGTCCCCAGGGCCTCCTTGGGCCAGCCGGGCTGCTGCAAACACAGACAGGAAGCAAGCCTGACGCCCCTCCACCCTTAGACAGTGCGGTGAGGCCTGGATGCACGCAAGCCCCCAGCAACCCGCTTTCCTGAGTGACCTCGGACAGACTGCCCTCTGTGCAAAGCCACCATGGGCCTGCTCAGGGCCATCTTCCTCCCTGGTCAGAGGGGTCAGCTGCTGGGGGTGGCCCAGACCTCAAGAGTGGGCAATGGGATTCAAGGCCTGCATGGCTAGGGCATATGCCCTTGGGCCAGTCACCTCCCTCTCAGAGCCTTGGGCTTCTCATGTGAAAATGGGGTACTCACTCCAGTCCCACAGAGCATGCTGATGATTAAATGGGGTGTGACGTGTGATCAGAGAATGGGAAGCTGGAGAGCAGCTGGGCACCCCAGCACCCTTGTTACCACTGGTAGCAGCCAGTTCCCCCATGCCTCCTATGTAGGGGCCAGTCCTGGGACAGACACCTGCTGATTGCTTCAGCCTCTGATACTGTTTCTTGGTCTCAATCCCCAAGGAGTGGTTTTCATTGTCCTCCTTCCCCTCAACACACTCACCAAGCCATGAGTGACCACCTGGCCCAGGGTGAGTACCCTCATGCCCCCACATGCACCATCCAGGACCGCCATTCACATTACGGTCTGTGAGGGGCATATGCTGTAGAACACAATGTGAGTGGTGTCCCCTGAAGGTGTGCATGGGGGGGCCCTAGACCTCTCTGAACCTTACTGTCCCCCACTTGGAGAAGGGGGATAACCCCTTCCAGGAGTAGGACTTGTGAGCAGGTAATACAAGCTTTAAGTCCAAGGCTCATGGCCAGATGTAAGGGCTGGGGCCTGCACAGGCCACTTCCTGGAGGAGGGGCTGGGCGTGGGAGGACAGTGTCTATCCCCTTCCCCAGCCTCCCCACCCCTGGCCAGGGCCCAGGACACACTTCAAAGCACCTCACGCCCATCTGCTCCCTGGTGTATTCACCAGTCTGGCTCCATGGAACTAGGTTTGGCAGGACTGGGCTGTGGTAGGCAGGCGCTAGGTAGGGGGATCACAGGTCACTGTAGCAGGAGCCCAGTGCCCGGGGTTTGCAGTGAGAAGGAGCCATCCGGAGTCATAGCCATGACCAGCCCGGCCCCGTCCCTGAGCATGGAGATGAAGAAAAGGGGCAAGTTGGGGCCAAGAAGAGTGTGGCTGGCCACTCTGCTCCTCCCTCCAGCCCCATCATCCCAGGGGGGCGGTCACCAGCCCCGGGGGTTAACAAAGCCCAGATGATGCTCCCCTCTCCACGGCCGGGGGGGGGGGGGGGGCAGGTGAGTTAACAGATGAAGCAGAGAGGGCCAGGGACCTGCCCATGGGGTTCCCAGCCCCCACCACCATCACTCCAGGGGGCAGTCCCTGCTGGTGACAAGATGGGCCTCGCTGCTTGTAGGGGTGGGGGGGTGTGGCTCAATCTCTGTGAAACACAGGTCTCTGAGGACCTCGGAGTGGGGACATGGCGGGGAAGGGCTGGGGGCCTGAGCGAGGGCTTGAAGGGGTATGGAAGGAGCGTGGGCGGGACCACCGCTGGGCCTCTGCCGAGCTGTACGCTGCGCGTAAAAAACTTTCCTGCTGCCAGTTACCCGACCCTCTGAGGCCCTGCAACTCCTCTGGGAAGCCATCCCTTGACTTCCATGGCCTTCATGCCTACATGGGCTCCATTCTCTGCATGCGTTCGTTTGCTGCTCTCTCCCGTCCTCCCAAAGGAGCGGATGAAAAGCTGTTGTATGGTGGCGTTTCAGGCAGAGGATGCAGGTTGGGGAAGGAGTTTCTGACTTGACATTCCCCCAATCCAAGAGGAAGCCAGGCTGCGCTTTGAAACGGTAGATGCTCATTTATGTATAATAATAACAACAATAATAATTAATAATAATAATAAATGTTACGCAAACTGTTAAAAAAATACCTTTTCGAGGGAGTGGGGTCCCCAGCCTGCCGCTGGCAGGGGGCGGGGCTAGCACCAGGAGGGCGCGAGGGGCGGGGCTCCGCCGCAGCCCGTGGTGAGGCGCTGAGGTCCGTGCGTCGGTCGGTCGGTCTGTGCGTCCCTGCCCGGCCCTGGGCCGGGGCGCGGGTCAGCGGCGGGCGACCCGCTGATGGCCACGGGAGGAGGCACCGCGGCCGGGCGGGGGACAGGAGCGGCAGCACTGCGTGCGCACGGTGGGCAGCTGGCAGCGGCCCAGCAGGCGCAGCGTCTCGCAGAAACCAAAGGACAGGCGATCCCGCTCGCAGCCTGGGGGCGGAGCGGGGCGGGTCAGGGCCGGGATCGGGGCGCCCAGAACGGGCCCACCTGCCCTTGCGCCAGGGCACTGCTGGGCTCAGGTTCCCAGAGGAAAGGCCCTGACACCCCACTCCTGACCACCCCAGCCTGCCACCCCTCTCCATCCCTGCTGACCCTTGGTGTCCCGACAGGTCCTGGCACACTACTGAAGTCCCAGGTGCCTCCTGCCAGCCTGCAGTGGCCTCTGCCCCCCACCCCTGCTACCTCCCTCTGCCCAAATGCACTTGTCCTGCCAGACCTCCACGACCCCCTGCAGCCACACGACCCCCTGCAGCCACACGGGCTGTACTCAGACTCAGCTTCTGGGTCACAGACCAAAACAGTCTCATCAGACAGGCCAGGCACAGAGGCCCGGAGAGACGGGGCCATACGGCCCCCAGCAGAACCCAGGCCTCCTGGGGAGGGCCGGAGAGAGGCTGCAGGCCGTGCTGGTCTGGGCTGAGGCTTGGCCGGCACCCCTGCCCTGTCCTTATCAGAGCTATTTTGGGAAGCGGCTTGCTTCCAGCCTCCTGGCCTTGCTCCCTCTGCTGCTGACAGCCCCCAGCTGCCGCCCAGGCCCTGCTCACCCCAGCAGACATCCAGGGGAAGGAGAAGCAGGAAGGCAACAGATGTCCCTGGGCCTGGGACATCCCCGGGCCGGCAGAGGCATGAGGCAGCAGGCAGGCCCCTCCACCTCTGCTTCGGGCAGCACTCTGAGCTACACATCTGCAGACCTGCGTCCTGTTCCTGCTGTGTGACCTCGGGCAAGCTTCTTAACCTCTCAGGGGGCCCCAGTTCCCTCCTGTGTCAATAACCCCCACCTCCACAGGCAAACGGATATGGCCATGCTATGTTAGCTGCCTCACCACAGTGACCACAAACCCTGGAGTTTCCAGGCTTTCCACATATCCTGCCATACAGCCCCACAAACCATCAAAACATCCTGGGGACTCCAGAGTCTCAGCGTCCAAGTCACCTCCCTGGCTGGCCTCCACCCTTGAACTCCTCACTTGGGATGGCTCATGGTTGGGTCACCTAACCACCCCCCACAATTCCCATTCCTGGCCCCCCACAACCTCACCTCCCAGGAGACCTGGCAGGCCCAGAACCTCCTGGGCCAGGCCTGTCCTGGGGTCTCAGCCCCAAAGGCCTCAGTTCCCATCCTCTCCCACCATCTGGCCCTCGCCATCTGGGACCATAGCTACCCACCTCCCCATTGGCCCTGAGCCAAGCGTGAGAGGAGCCGTGGCCCACCTCTGCCCCAAAGGCAAGCGCTGTGACACCAGCAGCCAGCTCGGGGCCATGTGCAGGAGGTGCCCTGAGATGCTGGCTGGGTGAATGCAGAGGGCAGGGCAAGGGCAGCTGCAGGGTGGGTGGCACTTCTGCTCCACCTTGAGGTAATGGGATTGGAGGCAGGAAGGCCATTCCTGCCAGTGGTGTGGGCAGCAAGGTCTGGCAGGGGCTACTCTGGGCCTGGACAAGGGCTGCCAAGGAGCCAGCCACTGGTAGAAAAGGCAGATTGGGGCAGATCCCTGGAGGCCCTGAATGCCACCCTGAGGGCCGCCGACTCTGTCCTTGGGGCAGGGGGCAGACAGCAGATAGGCACAGGCGCTGCTGGGTTCTCTCGAGTGGCAGAGGCAGCCCCAGGCTCTCCTCCTGACCTCACAATGGAGGATGCCAGTGGCTACGAGGGAGAGGAAGAAGCCAGCCTTCCCTGAGCATCTCCTGGGCTCTTCACCAAACACCTCATTTATGCTTTCCCCATCCCACCCCCATAGACAAGGCTGGTCAGCCCCTTTATGCACGAGGAAGTGGAGGCCCAGAGAGGGAAGTGGAGCCCAAGGCCACACAGCTGGTGACGGGAGCCCAGGTGTGACTCCAGAGCCAGTTTCCACAGTGCTCAGCACTGCTGGGGGAGCCTGGGGCTGTAGGAAGGAAGTGTGTGTCTAGAGCGACCTCTGGCTCAGCCCCTTCCTCCAGGAGGACCCAGCTGGCCAGGAAGCAGCCAGCTGCTGGGAGCTAACAGGACTCTGGGAGGGAGGCCCTTCCTGGGGTTACACAGCTCACCCTGGGCAGTCCGCCTCTGGCCAGGAAAAGGACAGGCCAGAGCTGGGGACGGGGGCTCACCCAGGCCTGGTCTCCACACAGTCTCAGGGACATCCTGTCCTTACTCTGGGAGGTAATTGAGACCCGGAGGGGAAAAGAGCTTGCCCAAGGTCACATAGCAACTTGGGGGCCGAGGCTGCTGCCTCCATTCTTCCGCTGAGCTAGAGAAAGCTGCGTGTGGGCTGCCCGCGGGGTTGGACTCCCCTGGGCTCGGACCCCGGCACAGCCCCAGCTTCTGCGTGGCACCCTGTGGCCTCACAATTATCGGTCAGCCAGTGCTGTGGGAGCAATGGTTTGAGGATTCCCATTTCCCCACTGTCCTCCCCATTCTCCCACCCCCAGCAGAGAGCCAGGGTGGGGACACTCACGTGGAGGCTCCTCGGGCTCACAGTCCTGGGCACCGCACGGCCGGGAGCTCTCAGGCCAGGCCTCGTGGCCACACTGGTCGCTGTCTTCCTCGGTCAGCCCCGTCTGGGTGTTGACACACTTGACCAGGCGCCGCTGGACGCCACCACCGCAGGGTGCTGAGCACTGCAGGGAGTTGGGGGAGGGGTAAGCATCCCCCTTGGCCAGCCCTCGCAGTGGGGATCAGGCAGCCCCGCAGCAGCCCCCTCCTCTGCTAGGAAGCCATCCCTGCCTGACTGGCATCTCGCTGCTCCCATCCCCTGCCCCCATGCCTCCTCGGAGGGTCTGGCATCCCCGGAGCCCACCAAGTGCTCACTTGCAGGAGCTGCACCTGCAGCGAGGCAGAGGGGGCCCGAGAGAGGCAGGGAAAGCTGCCAGTCCCACGCAGGATGGGACATGCCCAAGGCTTGGGCAGGGGCTCTGGGGCTGGAGGACCTGCTGCAGCCCGTAGGCAGCAGAAGGGAGGAGGCAGAAAGCTTCTCCACCAGGGCCCACCACCCCGGGTCAGGCTTCATTCTTATCCGTTGGGGTCTGATGTTTTTAAAAAGCCCTAAAAATAAGTTTAATCCGTGCCCATGTTGTGCCAGGCCCTGTGCTCAGTGCCTCATTGTGTGACTTCACTTAACCCTCACACCTCATTTACAGATGAGAAAACAGAGGCCCGGCCAAGCGAAGCAGCCCGGCCAGAGTCACTGAGCAGCCAGTGGGACAAGGACTGAGATTCTCGAACCTCTGAGCTCCAAACAGGCCTGGCAGGAACGCGTCCTGCCCACCCTGAGGCCTCGCTGGCCCGTCTCCCACCCGCTCTGCCACTCTGGCCTCTGCTCGGTTCCCGGAGCACCCTGCGTCCAGCCTTCCTACTCCACACCTTGCCCTTGCTGTTCCCATTCAGCCTCTCCCTCACATCACTGACTCCTCCAGTCCCAGTTCTGAACTCCCCTCCTCAGAGGGCCTTCCCTGACACCACAGCACATGTCCACTTGTTGTCTTTAGTCCGTTTCCCCTTGGCAGGCTGTAAGCTCCAGCAGCGGGGGACCTCGTCTGGTCACCACTGTATCTACAGTGACCACAGAGAGCCTGGCGCAGAGTACACTCAACAGTTCCTTCCTAAATGCACAAAGGACTGATCAGTGCCTGCTGAGCACTTGTCCCCACTCCCCGCCTGCTCACCTGGCCCCAGGGCCCCACCACCCACTGTGTACAGGGGTGGGTGTTGCAGGGCCGCGTGGTGTTGGGTCTCAGGGCCTCCTCGCAGAGGCCCGGCTCCGGGCAGGTCACCAGACGCTGCTGTTCGCCGCCGCCACAGGCCTCGGAGCACTGGGAGGGCAGGATGGGCAGGGAAAGGGGTCAGGGCACGGCCAGGGTCTGAGGATGCCCCCTACTCCCATCCCAGACCCCCAGGCCTCACCTCCCTCCAGGAAGAGGTGTACCAGCTGAGGCAGGGCTGGGCCCCGCAGGGCCGGCGGGCAGGGGGCTTGGCAGGCCCCGGCTGGCAGTGGAAGGGCCGCAGTGGCCGGAGGTCCCGTGTGTCCACACACTGCACGTCCCGCACAGAGGAACCTCCGCCGCAGCTGCGGGAGCACTGGAGAGACACGTGTGTGGACATACAGCCACATGCATGCACACGCATGACCCCATGAGGGGTGTGGCAATGCAGGCATCAGACCACCCCCACGGCCTGGGGCAAGTCCCTGAAGAGTCCCAGGGCAGCCTCGGACAGCAGGCAGTGAGGCCAGGGGCTGCCACAGGACGGGAGAGATGGAGAGAGAGAGGAACAAAGGAGAATGGGTGACAGTGAAATCCCTAGGGGGACAGAAAGTAAGGAGAAAAGGATACAGCCAACAAGGGAAGGAGCTCAGGGCAGGTCAAACCAAAGAAAGATGAAGATTCGAAAGCGTCTAGGAATTAAATACAAGAAAGTACAAAGACAGAGCACCCCCCTCTGGTGGCTGCAGCTGATTCCTGAGCACAGGCCGAGGGCCCCTGGGCTCCACCCTGCCCCCTGAGGCTGCCTGCTTTCTCTGTCCTCACGCACCTTACTCCAGTTGCCTGAGTGCCAGGCGGCACAGGGCCGCAGGTGGCAGCGGCGGGCGGGCTGGGGCCGGCCAGCGGGGGCGCAGTCCTCCTCCCGGCCGGAGCTGCAGCGCACGGGCCTCCAGACGGCGCCCAGGCCGCAGGTGGTGGAGCACTGGGGGGTGCGCAGAGGCCATGAGGGCAAAGCAGATCCCCACCCCCTAGCCTTCATGACTGCCCATCAAGGAGAGTGGGACCTCGGCAGAGCCAGGGCCTCTCCTCTGGGCCTTAATTTCCTCATCTGCAAAATGGGCGCCTCCACCTGCCTCCCAAGGAGACTGAGAGGACGAAAGGTCAAATCCCCCCGCCACCAACTGTCCCTGCTCACAGGGGACAGAGGTGAGGTGACCCAGCTGTCCTGACAAGGCTCACTGCTTCCCAGAAGCACTTGGGAAGGAAGTCGGGGTTCCTCCCGGGGCCTCAGCCTGTCCCTCTCCACCCCCAAATTAGGGATCTAAACAGAAAGCTCACTTCTCCTGCAGTGACAATCTGGGGGTGCTGGTGTTTGGGGGGCACAACCCAGCTTCTTTCATGTAGTTCAGACCCTTGTGGGCCCTGATGAAGCAGGGTGGAGCCACTGAGGGGAAGCCAGGTGGCAAGGGCCTGAGCCACGCCTGGAGGAGCCAGGCTGAGCCCAGGGTAACCCTGCTGGGTCCTGCTGGACGGCGCCGGGCCTGGGAGCCATGGAGGCTTCCCCACCAACACAGCTGCCGGGGGTGAGCTCCCTGTCCCTGGGAGCATGCAAGCCCGAGGGCAGATGGGCCCCCTCACCCCACCCCTACTGCTCAGATGGGAAACAGGTCTGACAGGGCACCCTGGCCCCAGGGGTACATGGACGGCAGTATGACTGAGCCAGGGCAAAGCTCCTCCCACCCACGACTGGCAGTCAGTTCCCTAATCCTAGGATGCCCAGCACCCCGGGAGGTAGGGCAGACAGCCAGCCAGACTCCTGTCCTGCTCTTTTCCGGATGAGGAGGCTGAGCCAGCGAGGTCCTGCTGAAACCCCCAGCCCACCCAGGCCCCTGCACTACTTGCCTGGCTCCAGTTCCCCACTTCCCAGCTGGCATTCCTGGCAGACGGCAGGTCCAGGGGGGGCCCCTCCTCGGCCAGCCTGGGGTCCAGGGGCTGGGCCTCAGGGACTCTGATGCTGTTGGCCGGGGTGTCCTGAGCTGGTGTGGACAGGAGCACAGAGCTTGGGGGCACCTCAGGGCTGGGGGACTCAGGCTGGCCCAAGGGTCCTGGGCTCATGGCAGTTACCCAGGGTGTGTGCCCCGGGCCAGTCGGGGCTGTCAGAAGGAAGGTCCCTGGCACTGCCAGGGTCTGCAGGTCCCGTGGGGCCAGGCCTGGTGTTGAAAGGGTAGGAGTCCCCGGCTCCAAGGGGTTGTCCCTGCCCTGGGTCTCTGGCAGAGCAGCTGTGGGAGGAGGAGGGAGAGAAGCTCCCCCCACAGTGGGCCACAGCTCACTGTCCACAGGCCCCAGGCCACTCTCCAGAGCTGGTTCCCAGGCCATGGCCCCACTTGTCCACAGCTCTACCGTGTCAGAACTCGGAGAGGAGTGGGTAGTGCTGACGGAGGACCAAGGGAGCCACGTGGGGCTGGGTCTCTGGGGCAGGTGGGGCACTCTGCGGCCTAAGGCTTCCTCATCATCCTCAGAAACCTCATTGGTCCTCTCCCACCGTGGAGGGGGTGGCTGGCTCTGGCTCTCCTCCCGTCCCAGGAACTTGTTTTGGCTCCCAGGGGCAGCAGGTATCTCCGTGCTGACTGAAGTGGGGGGCCAGGGCAACCTGGGGAGCCCAAGGTCTGGGGCCCCCATGGGGGCATCTTCCTCGGACAAGAAATTGACCAAGGGGTTCCCAGGGGTCTGCTCCGGGTGTGGGGGTGGGGAGTAGTCAGCCTGGGTGGGCCAAGGGGTAGGGGACCAATCTCCCAGTGCCTCCTCCTCCTCAGCCCCAGGAGGCTCTATGGCAGGCACGGGGGTACCCGTAGGGGGCTCAGAGGGACTGCTTGGGGGTGGGGGCGTCCAATCCCCTGTGCCAACCACATCTGGGTCAGGCTCCTCCAAGGGCTCATAGGACAAGTCCTCGTGGAAGTTAATGAAATTGTAGTCATAGTAGAAGTCGTCTACAAACACTGGCCCCGGCAGGCCAAGCTCAGAGTCCTCTTCGATGGCATTGCCCATGCTGGCAGGCTCGGGTGACGAGGGAGGTGGAGGGCGTGGGGTCAGGCGGTGGGGGATGAAGTCGACCTCATTGAAGAGCTCTTGGCTGGAGGAGCCGCTGCCTGAGCCTTCAGGGCCCAGCGTGTCCAAGGCCCGCAGGCAAGGCGGCAGAGGGCAGGTGGTCTCACTTGCTGGCCGCTGGGCCTCATCACAGGGGACACCGGTGTCATTGGTGCAGAGGACACTTCGGTGCTGAGTGCCTTCCCCACACGTCACCGAGCACTACAGGGGAGGCAGGGTGAGGGGCTCAGGCCGGGAGAAGCTGGGGCATGGCAGGGTACCCTGCTCACTGCTGGATGTCAGAGTGGCAGAGGCCTCAGCCAGCCCTCTCTGGTCCTGCCCAGCTCGACACCATGGCTTGTGGCCATGCCTTGCCAGGGCATCCTAGTCCCTGAGGCTTTGGGGACAGGGGCTGGACCCAGAATGCCCCAGCCTCCCTCCCACCATGGCGCCCAGCAGTAAGGGCTCCCTGAAGGCTGTCTGTGCCTCGCGGTAGCCAAAGACCGATGAGGGAGCTGGAGGCAGGCCCTTCCCCATCCTGATGCTTACCTGAGACCAGTTGCCCACGCCCCAGGTAGCAGGACAGGGCACATCCCGGTTGCAAGGGGTTTCAGCAGGGGGCTGGGGAAGGTGTTCACAGGCGAGTGGCTCCAGGGCACTCTGCTCATCCAGCCCCACGCTGCGGATGCAGAGCACGGCCCGGCGGGAGAGGCCCCGGGGCCCACAGGAGCTGGAGCACCGCTGCCACTCACCTGCCCACCACCTGCAGGGGCACACAGGTGGCATCAGCATGGGGCTGGCTGGACTCCCAGGCACTCAGGGTTCAGCGAGGTCAGGTCTAAGCCCAGGGGACGATTCCCCAGAGCGCCAAGCCTGGGTCAGCACTCTGGCCCCTCAAGCCCAGTGACAGGACTCAGCTCCCTTTGCTCCTGCCACCCTCACCCCAGGGGGACCTGGGCAAGGCCCAAGGCCTGTGTCCACATCCACAGATCCAAACACGAGTGAGCAGGGATGTCCCAGGCTCGTGCTGGCTGCCTAGGGGGAACCCAGGCCCAGGCTGGAGTGGGAGGGCACCAGGGCCTGGGGCTTCAGCCTTGGGAAGAGAGGCTAAGAGGTCAGCTCCCTCTGCTCCTCCCAGGGCCCCCCTGATGTGGGGCCTGGAGCAGGAGCAGGACCCCTAGGAGTCAGGAGCCTGGGGGGCCAGCGGTCAGGGCAGGCTCACCGGGCGGGGCATGGCTCCTCGCTGCACTTCCTGTGGCGGTCATCGGGCCGGCCCAGGGGGTCACAGTGTCTCTCGTCCACAGGCCCCGCCTGCTTCTCTGTGCAGTACACGCTCTGCCTCTGCATGCCTGGGGGTCCACGGGGGCTCAGCCTGGGCCTGGCACCAGGGTGCCCCTGCCCCGGCTGCCTTGCACCCAAAGACACAGCCACACCCACTCTGCTCAGAATCCCCCCAGAACAGGGCCTCACTGCCTTTGTCAGGATGCAGGCAGGCTCCCACCGCCCCCTCCTCACGGGCCTTCTGGCCTTTACCCTGACCACTGGGGAGACAGCAGAGTGTGGAGGTTCAGTGAGTGGCGGCCCAGCCCCGCGGGTTCCTGGCTGGGAGGACTTGGGCTCCCTTGGCCTCTCTGAACCTCAGTGTCCTCATCTATAAATGGGAGTAACAATAATACCGGCCCTGGGGCCGGCCCAGTGGCGTAGTGGTTAAGTTCGCGAGCTCCGCTTCGGCGGCCCGGGGGTTTGGATCTCCGGCGCGGACTGACGCACCGCTTGTCAGGCCATGCTGTGGCGGCGTCCCATATAAAGTAGAGGAAGATGGGCACGGATGTTAGCCCAGGGCCAGTCTTCCTCAGCAAAAAGGGGAGGATCGGCAACAGATGTTAGCTCAGGGCTAATCTTCCTCACACACACAAAAATAATAATAATACCAGCCTTAAAGCCCAGGTGTGAGGATAACACGTGGTCAAGTGTGTGCAGGCTCAGCCTGTGCCTGGCACATGGTCAGAGCTCAACAAGGGCCGGCTGCTGCTAGTGTGCAACTCCAACCCCAGCCTAAGCGCCACCCCACCATCCACACCCCGCCCAGCAGGGTCAGTGCTCAGAAAAAGTCTGAGGAGGAAATCCTCAGACCACCCAGCCAGGCGTTCCTCTCCTGCCCTGCAGCCCCCACTCCCGGCCCCCACACTAGCTGTGTCACTGTTCCTGCCCTTCATACCCTCTGCCATTGCCTGCCTCTGGGTCTTTGCACAGCTGTGCTCTTCACATTCGACGTACACCCCCACGCTGCCTGTGGAGGCCAGCACAGGACCAATTCTAGCAGTCTCTGCCTTCACCCTGCTCCCCGCTCAGCCTAGAAGATCAAACTGTCCCTGCCCTGAGCCTCCAGTCCCGCGTCCACCCCCTCCTTCCTTACTAAGAGAATTCTGATCGTGTTCAACATAACAATGAGACCTGCTGAAAACACTCCCCACCGCAGTTCCCTTGCAGCCAGCAGGGTCTGGGACACAGGCCTGCCAGGGAGAAAAAGGCCCGAGTCCCTCGCGGGGAGCCAGCCCGCTGCCCCTTCTGCTTCCTGCCTGGAACACGGCAAGAGGCCGGGAAGGAGGATGCCCTCTGTGACACGCGTGCGTGCGGGGAAAGCGGGGCTAAGCGGGAGGCAGGGCCCGGGCCCCCAAAGGCACTGAGGGCGTCCCCCCAGGCTGGACTGTGCACCCGGGGACTTCTACCCACCGGAGACAAATAAACCCTTATCTGCGCCAGCCACCACCGGTCAGGATCCTGCTACATGCTGCTCAACCATTCCTAACCCGTCCACCTAGGAAGCAACCATTGCCGAAAGACAATTCCCCAGTGTCTAGTTCGTCAAATGTTTTTGTCTTCACATTTGTAAATCTAAAGACACTTACATGGGACAGGATGCTTTTAATAGCTTTTGAAGATTTCTGCCAAGTTTTAGTGGGCCAGTTTTCATTTTGTCATCATAAAAGCTTTTTAAGGAATGTTCAAATGTCTCATCTCAGATACCTGACCCTGACATCCCTGGACACCACGGGGCCGAGGGGTGGGGGGAGCCTGAAGGAGCCGGGGCGGTGGGGAGAGTGAGAGGTAGTCAAATTATTATATGTTTTTAAAGCATTAAAAGAAGTGAATGTGGTGAATGGGCCATTGGGCTCACAGGCTTCAGAGCGGGGGTGGGGAGACCCTTGTCACGTCCCAGCTCCCTCCTCCTGTCCCTGCTGCCTTGCCCTTGTTCCTCCTCCTCCTCCTCTCTGGGGAAGCCTCTCCTGCGGCAGCATCCCAGGGTGCATCAGGCTCTGGGCCTCCCAGGAGAAGCTGGAGGGCTCCAGGGAGGAGGGGGCCCCTGGGCAGCCCGTCTGTGGCAGGGGAGGGGGAGGAGCCCACCCTGATGGGGGGCTTCAGTTAAGGCTCCGGGAGTGTGAAGGGGTCAGGTCTCCAGAATGGAGCAGAAACACAGGAACAAGACCTGCCAGAGCTGAGCAATAAGAAAGGGAGCAGTAGCCAAGGACTCTGCGGGGAGAATGCCCACAGCCGAGATATATTGAGCGCTCGCCATATGCTAGGTGCCATGCCTGCCTCATCTCATTTACTCTCCCAATGGACCTCAGAGACAGGGCTATTGCTAGCCCCATTTTATATATGGGGAAATTGAGGCCCAGAGAAGCAACATTCAAGCTCATCGTGCCCCAGCAAATAAGCAATGAGCTGGAGGCTGAAGCCAGGGGTCCCTGCCCAGAGACGAAGGCCCTGCTGGGCAGCAGCTGTGCCCGCCCCTCTCCTCACCTGTGCCACAGGTGACCGTGCACTTGGTCCAGGGCCCATAGTGCCAGGAGAACTCAGGCAGCTGGACCGGGCTGTGGCCATCCGCCTCCCTGTGGATGGTATACTCGTAGCGCACCCCGGGGTTGCTCTCCTGGAACAGCAGCTGGGGCAGGCAGGTGGGGCCTTGTGAGCATGAGGCGCCCTCTCCCTCTACCCAGGACCTGCCACCCAGAGAAACCATTCTAAAGGAACTGACTCCCGCCACCTCTGGGACCTGGGGCTACCCCACGGGGCTGTTGTAGAGATGGGGAACCCAAGGCAGAGGCTCCAGCAGTAGAGCCAGGCCCTGTGACTGTCCCTGGACTTACTCCTGCCAGAGGGCCCGGGTCCCACGGACTCCACCCCCACCTGGGCCTCAGGAGGCAGGCACCTGGATCCACACGGGCTCGTCGGTGGGACCCGGGGACGTGAGGTTCTCCCAGTTGCCCGTGCGTGCGTATGTGAAGGTGGTGCCCGCCACCTGGTAGTCCCCGTTCCACTGGATGGTCCAGCCACCGTTGAGGAAGTACTTCTCCGGGTCCTCGCTCCGCAGGGCCAGGAAGTTGGCGGCCTCGGCCACCTCCTCAATGCGGATCTCGCGAGCGCCGGCGGGGATCAGCCCCACATCCACATACCCTGTGGGCCGGGCATGGTGCAGAGGTTGTGCACAGAGGTAAGAGGGCTGGCTGCCCCCTTCCTCTCACCTCTTCCCACTCGCCCCTGCCTAATGACGCCAGACTCCACCGTTAGCTGCCCATGCAGAGCTCTCCCAAAAGGCAGATCTTAGACCTGTCCTAGGTCACCAAACCCTTGAAGGGCTCCTCAAATCCCGGCCCATGCCCTCTCCTGAAGACCTTTGCTGGTCTCCATGTCACAAGGCTGGGCCCATCCCCTACACTTGGGGCCAGCACGACCTTTCTGAGAAACCAGTCTTCCTGGGCCCCTCCCCTGGGACATCCTCCTCATTCCTGCACAGCCTGTTTATCCTCTCACTTCAGGAGCACCCATCACAGGCCGGGCATTACTCTAGGCACTTTGCTGTATGACATAGTACAACTGCTATCCCCATCTTACAGATGAGGAAACTGAGGCCCAGAGAGGTTAAGTAACTTGCCTGAGGGTTTTGCTCAGATCTCAAACAGGCTCCAGGGTCTGGGCTTTAACCACCACACTGGAGTACGTCTCCGGGGTGAGAGCTAAGCTTCTCGCCTAGCATTCAAGGCCCCACCTCCCTTACAAGTCCCCCAACAGAGCATGCGCCTTCTTGCCTCCAAGCTTTGTTGGGCACAAGCTCTCTCCTCCATGTGCAACGTTTCTCCCCATCTCATCTGAGTGTTTTATGATTCAGCTCAACTTCTACCTCCTACAGGAAGTCTTCCCTGACTTCTCAGGTCAGGACTTCTTCCTCAGTGCTCTCACAGCCCTCTGGGCCTCCCTCCACCGCGTCTGTCATGCTAAAAGTTTCTGTCACCCTGTCAGACTGAGAGCTCTTCACCTCCACGTCCCCCTGACCTAACACACAGTCAGCACTTAAGCAATATATGCAAAACAGGTCCCGAGGTGAAGGAGTGGAGCTGGAGGGTCTCTGAAGCTTTATAAGAAGACAGCAAGCCTCTGAAAGGGCTGAGGGCCACCTGTAAGCCTGATGGGCCCAGCCTGGGGTCCCCGGGACAGGAAGACTCCCCATGAGGACAGGTTTTGGCACCTGGGCCAAGATGCCCGTACTCCTGCAAGGATCCTGGACCAAGCAGGGTGGCTTCCCAGATCTAGCCTGGGTGGGGACAATGGGCGCCGAGGGCAAGGGCTCCGGGAGATGGGAAGGACCACCAGGTTAAGAGCACCCTGCCCCCCGCCAGCGGTCCCACCCCGTACCCAGGCCCTCAGCCTCCTCGAAGGTCCCGCTCACGGTGTGGCAGGTAGAGCCGTTGCCGTGGCACACGCCACAGCGGTCCTCAACGGCACCAGAGTCAATCTCGAAGTCGCAGCCCACGTTCTGCAACACATGGGGGAGGGAGGCCCTGGTGCTGGGCCACTGGCCACCAGCCCTCTGGGGCCCCAGCCTCAGGGGCCCACCCGGGTGGGAGGAGAGAGCTCAGGGCAGGGAGCCCCCCTGCAGTTGTGCCCTCTGACCCCAGGTGACCCCCTCTGCCTCTCTGAGCCTCAGCTTCCTCAGATGTGAAAGGGGGAGATCAATCTGTGCCATGAAGGCGTGTTGGCAGGTCACAGGAGAAAGAGATGGGAAGAGTTTTATCAAAGGCTACAGCAGGCAGGGGAGCTGGCACACCACGGGCTCCTGACCAGGGTGGACAGGAATTTCCCAGAAACAGGAATCAATGCCCCAGGCACCGGGGTGAGCCCCTCCCTGCTGGTCCTCCTCTGAGCCCAGGCCTTGATGCTCCTGGCCTCATTTCCCGGAAGCAGGGGCAAGAAAGTGGCTGGGCTGCTTTGTTGAGCGGGCAGGAGAAGCCACTGCTGTTGCCAGAAATAAGAAGAATTGCTAGCAAATTCTAGAATTGTGACGCACACTCTGCTAGGCTCTGAGCCTTGCACATAGGTGACGACCTGTTAAGTGACCTCATTTAACCCTGTGACATGGACAAGGATGGTCCCCTTTCAACGGGAGAGGAAACCACTGCCTGGGGTTATCCAACCAGCAGGAGGTCGAGCCACCGCCTGGGCTCTGGTTTCCTGGCTGGGGCTGTGCCGGCGGCGCAGGCGCGTGAGTGCAGAAGCCGGCAGGGATGAGGTGGGAAGGCCGTGGTGCAGAGGCAGGAGCTGGGGGTGTGAGGGCGGACTGTGAGGGCTCCAGTGTCAGGAGGAGTGGCGGGGGCTGTGCTGAGAGGTGACAGGAGACTATCGAAAGGCTCCACTAGCCAAGCTGGGAAGTCCAATGGTCCAGCCTGGGGAGGGAAGCCAGAGGAGGCCAGGAGGACCCAGAGGAGGACCGCCAGGGGGTGAGGCGCACCTTGCAGATGCCGTTGATGCAGAGGTCACGGCTGGCCTGGCCCTGGTAGCAGGGGGTGCCATCCACCACTGCGTCCCGCAGCTTCTCGGCAAAGTACTCGTTGGAGGGCCGGCAGTGCAGCTCACAGGGGTTCACTGGGGGCCCAAGAGGAGGAGCCATGAGGGACAGCCAGGGCCGGAGTCACGGAAGCCCTGGGGAAGACTGCCTCCACGACGCACGTCAGTGGCAGGCTGGAGGTTCCCAAGCAACACCAACATGCTGGCGGCTCCGGCTGGGCTGGCGCTGTCTGCAAGGCTGCAGACTGGGAGCTGGGAGGACAGTGCGGAGCAGCCCAGGGCTGGGGTGGGGACCGGGCCTCCTGCCCATACCACTGGGTAACCTGGGCCCTCAGATCGCCACCCTGCTGGGCCTCAGTGTCCCTGTGGGCGGCAGGACTCACCATCATTGACCACAGGCACCCATGTGTGCAGCTGACCCTTGTAGAGCATGGCGTCAAAGTGGCTGCACTGGACGTGGCGGAAGGAGGGGCGGCCGGCGGGGCAGGCGTGCAGGTTGCAGAGGCGGAAGCGCTTCCGCTCGCCCACGCAGTATTTGCCCTTGTATTTGGGCCTGTGTGGAGAGCCGGGGTGGGGCGGAGCGAGTGCACAGTGAGCGCCTACTGTGTACCTGGATCCAGGAGAGGGCCCTCGGCATGAGCAGCTCCTCCTGCACCCCTAACACCCAGAGATTCCCGCTGCCCACCTTCTGGCCCAGACACTCTCTGCCTGTTTGTAAGAATCTAAGGGAAGGTGGCAGCAGGAAGCCTGGGCTCTGCTGCCAACCTGCTGTGTGACCTTGGGCAAGTCTTCAGCCCTCTCTGGGCCTGTTTCCTCATTTATGCCTCAGTCTTCTCTCTATAACATGGGGTTGGGGCTACCTCTGCAGAGAGCTGTTGAGAGGCTGGGACAAGCTGCCGACGTGACCAGCACTGGCTAGAGTGGCTGCTCTGAGTCTCCAGCCCATGAGACCCAGTGTTCTGATGAGCCCATGTGTTGGCAGACTTGCTCCTGGTGGCAGCACCCCAGCCCAGGTCAAAAGGAAGCCCCCTGGGGCCTAGCCTGGCCAACAGGTCTGCCCCTGAGCACAGCACCTGAACCCCACCCCCACCTGGGTCAGGGTAGCTACTTCCCCCAACCCAGCTCAGACTTGGAGGCCAGGAGGCGGGGAGGGTACAGGCCCTTTGCCAAGCACAGGGCCCTAGATGGGGCTGGCTCTGAATCCCGTGGCTGCCCTGGGGCAGCGTAGTGCAGAGGGCTCATCCGAAGGAGCCAGCAGCCCCTCAGTCTATGGTACTGCTGGCCCCTGCATCTCCCTGAATCTTTACATCATCCCTCTTAGATGGGGAAACTGAGGCCCAGAGAGATGAAGTCACTCACCCCAGGTCACACAGCCACCACTTCCATGCTGACCAATTCTCCCAGCTGTCCCCAACCTCATCTCTGACCCACGTGTACCTCTGCTGCCACTAAGTGGCTCCTATTTACTGAGCACTTACTACCGACGAGTCACAGGGTCACAAGCTTTACCCGTGCTAACCCTGACAACAATTCTACCAGGTGGGCACTGTTGTTACCCTGTCAGTTTCTCAGGAAACTGAGGGTGGAGAAGGCCCTGGCATGAGAAGTGGAGAGAGGACTTGATCCCCGATCCACCTTAAGTCAAGGGTCTAAGCTCTTAGCCGCTGCCTCCTCCTGCCCCTTCCAGCCAGTTGTTGCTCTGCTGTGTGGCCTCCGATGAGTCCCTCCGGTCTTTGGGCCTCAGTGGTCCCCCCAGCAGCAGGGACCCTGGCAGCCTCCAGGATACTCCCTAGAGTCACCCCAGGTGACTCTGGACACTCCAGGCTTGGTCTCTATGGGGATACTCCTGAGAACAGCAGGCTGGGACAGAGCCAGGCTCCCCGCAATCAGCTGACTCTGCTCAAGGCCCGCGATCCCACCTGCCCCGGGCACCCCAGGCCGGCCCACACTCACGCAGGCTGCGTGCACTGCCGCTCAGCGTTCTGCACGCCCACACCACAGCTCCTCGAGCAGACAGACCAGGCGCTCCAGCCGGACCAGCCACCATCCACAGCCTCGGGCTGGAAGCCCACAGGAACGCACTCCCCATTCAGACACCACTGCCAAGATAGATGAAGGTAAAGCAACCCCACCCCAAGCCTATCAGTCATCCTCACTCTAGTGAGAACAAGGTGGGTGGGGGGCCTGGAAAAGTACAGAGGGGAAGGATTGAAGGAGTAGGGGAGGCCCCCTTCTGGTCACTCAAGACCCAGGCCCCATAGTGGAGCTGAGCCCACGTGCTGACTCTCTGAGCTGAAGACACCTTGGAGAATCACCGAATCAAGCCTGCCCCAGTGCCTCCATTCTGCAGATGGGGACCTGGGCCAGAGAGGGCTGGGGGTCTGCTAAGAGCCTAAGCAAGTCAGTGAGCCAAGACTGACCCGAGAGCATGGACACAGCAGGATGTCTGGACTCCCGCCGCCCCCTCCACAGCTGGACTGAGGAACACCCTACCTTGCTCTCCCCACACCTGGTACCATCCACGGCTGCATCCAGCTTGGAGTGACAGGTGGTCCCCACGGAGCACCAGAGTGTGTGGCAGACATTCTGCAAGGAAGAGGGCACGGACCATACTCTTACCCCCTCCCCAGTGCCACTGCCCACCCTGTCCCCTCATGACCCCCCAGAGTCCCCTGGGCACCCCTCCATGGGACTGGTACATGGTGGGGGTCTGCAGATGGGATCCCCAGAGGTCCCCTCTTGCCTTCTCTGGACCATGTGGTGTTATGGGGGCCCTGAGGCTCGGGTTTCCTGCTCAGAGCAGTCTCCAGCCCGCACACACCTCTCCCAGGCCCAGCCCACTCATCTGGAAAGACCCCTGTTGGAAGCCGCAGGGTCTCCACAACATGCCTGTGGCCATTACTTCAGATGATCGTCCCTAGGACCCTACCGCATAGACTTTATTTTACCTCTTATAATCCAGCTCCAGGAGGTGAGGGGCTTGCCCAAAGCCCCACAGTTGTAAATGGTCCACCCAGAATTCAGACCTGGGTCTATGGCCGCCCAACCCGAGTCCTCTCCCACAGGCCACCTGATGTCTCACCCAGGCCCAGTGGGATGTGCAGGCTGGTGAAGGCTGCCCCCGGCCCCCTGCCCACACACGCCCAGACTCACATCCATGTCGTCGCAGAAGGCAGAGTAGGCCCCGTACTGGAGGCGGCACTGGTGGCTCACGTCATAGAGGACGCCGGGCGGCACCGAGGGGAAGTCAATGACATCCTTGGCAGGAGCGTCATCTAGGCACAGGCCCCACCCACGGCTGCAGAGATGGGACAGGAGGATGGGATGAAGGGCCACCTGTCCCTTGGGGCAAGGGGAGAGCCCGAGAGACCCATCAGGGAGGCCTTGGCGGGGCCGGGAGGGCAGGGGAAATGGGAAGGGGCATAAAGCCCTAAACTTGTAGGAAAACTCCAGCCTCTCTGCTCACCTCGGCCTGTCCTCTGACCCAGCCTAGCATTCGAGGCCCTCCTGGCCTCTCCCTTTCTCACCTGGGCACTCCAGCCAGCTAAATGACTCATCCCCACTCCCCGATGCCAGGCCTTTGCACAAGCTGTTCCCTCCACTCACAATGCTCTCCCCACTCCTCTACTGGTGAAGTCTCTGTCCTCAAGATCCAGCCCAAAGGCCCTTCCTGCTGAAGCCTCCTGGACTGCCAAGTCTCCACATGGCCCTGCTCTGACGTCCATCGGCCTCCAGCCCTCCGGCCAGGCCCTGGGCCATCTCAGACAGGATCTGGAGAGCATCACATCACAGCTGGTACTACACCAGGCCTCTGATGGCCCTGCCCTGGGCTGAGCCCTAAGGTCATGTGTGGGAGGACCAAGGCCTGAAAGCTGCCCCCTGCTGGGCTGCCAAACTGGGAGAGAGCCCCGGGGGGCAGCCCTGCCCACCTCGGTCACTGCCTTGTTTATGCCTGCCTTCCCTGGCAGCAGAAAGGGAACCAGCACAAACTCCTGCTGCTGGTGTCCAGCGTGAAGATAAGGCTGCCCAGACCCTATACCACCAGGCAGGGAGCTAGGAGGGAGAAGGGCCCGCTGAGGGTGTCCCAGGCCCAGCTCAGGCCCGCCTCTGCCACGCATCATTCTGTGGGCCCCTTGCCCACAGCTATTGCCTCTGGGGGTCAGTGACCATTCTGCTGCCCTTGCCAGCCCTGGGCCAGCACCCATGCAGCAACCCTTAGGAGCACCAGCGCCCTGGCAGGCTGAACAGCCCGCCCCAGGGCTCACTGCTGTCCTGGAGGAATCGGAGGAGGGCCCGGGCCTCTCTGGGGGCAGCAGTGGCTGGGGAGCACTGAGCCGTGCAGAGAACCAGGATTGGGGGCAATGGGTAGGGTCAGCCCAGGCAGCAAGGACTTAGGCAGAGGCAGCAGAGGAAGGCAGGATCTGTGGGACGTGGGGCCCTGACCGGGCAGGGTAGAGGGAGGCAGAAACCCTCCAGTTTTGCAGTCTGGGAGGTGTAAGGGCAGCTGGTGCCAGGCTGGGCCAGGATGAGCAGAGGGGCCTGGTTAGGATCACAGGAGGCACAGCAAAGCAGGGTGGAGGTGATGGCTGCCGGGGTCTGGCGGGGAGGGGAGGAGGAGACACACCACGGGCCGTGGACAGGCCAGGAGAAGATGCAGGGGTCAAGAGGCAGGCCAATGGGTAGGCCAGTGTGGGGAGAGGCTGGAGGGGTCAGCGGCCGGGATCCTGGGGTCCAGATTTCAGAGAGAGGTCTGGGAGCTGTGAGACCCAGGGTGGGGTGGGTGGTCTGTGAGGTCTCCTAAGTCCCCTGGTTGATGGCAGGCCCCAGGCTCCACAGCAGGCTGCCAAGAACAAAGCCTCAGTGACCAGACCCCTGCTGACAACTCTGGGGATCCCCCCAGAATCACCTGGACCAGCTGTGCTAGCTGGAAATGGACCCTGTAAAAACGGTGTCAGCAAGTGAGCCGCCACTGGACCCAGCCCTCTGCCCTGGACGACCACGGGCCAGGCTGGCCCTGGGTGCTTGGCGGGCACCTTCTCGTTTGCCCCTCACAACACCTTGGACAGAAGACTCTACCACCACCCTCTCCTTACACACAGGGCCCAGGGCAGGGTGTCACTGGCCCCGGGTCACACGGGAGGGCAGTGATGGGCAGGATCTGATACCAGGCCCAGGCTGCCAAGTGCCCACACGTGTCCACCTGCTGGGCTGCCCCCAGCGCGGGCTCCTCCCGTCCGACTGTGAGCCTGGCCTCAAACACTTCACCCCAAATATAAGTTTAAAACCACGGCAGCTGAGGCCTGCCAGGGAGAAAGGAGTTTTCTGATTGCTGGCCTCAGCCTGGGGCCTCCCTGGGCCTGCACCTGCGCAGAGCGTCAGCTGGAGGACGGGGCAGAGGGTGGGGGTCAGCCTGGCCCTGGGGCTCCTTCTTCGCTTCTGGCAGGCCGCAACTAAAGATGTGGCCTGGGGGCTCGCCCACCCCCTGACTCAGATCCCGCGCCTCCGACGCAGGGTCTGACGTGCCTCAGCCCCACACAGACAGGTCCCGGGCCACAACCAGCCCTTCAGTTTCCTGGCTGGGACCCAGTGCTGACTTGCCAAGTGTCAGCTCCTGTGGGCCTGCTGCTGGGCAGCCAGAGCAACAGCGACCTACTGAGTCCATCTATATGTGCGTGAGAGGCTGTGGGCGTGGGGGGCTCTCACAGGACCCACTGCCAGAATCAGGGCCACACTCAGGGCCAGGTGCTGACTGGGGAGTCAGAAACCCAAGTTCTACTCTCTGCCCAGCTACAGGTGCTGTGTGGCCTTGGGCCATCCCTCACCCTCTCTGGGTCTTCATGTTCTCATCTACCAGAGGCTGAGGTGGCCTGTGTGATCCCAAGCTACAGAGGTATAAATAGCAGCATCTACTTGGGAAAAGTCACACGGGTGGCCAGCAGCCGGCCCTTCCTTCCTCTGGTCGGCTCACCGCCAGGCTCCTCATGCTGCCGAAACACACCCAATCCCCAAGCCTGTCAGCCCTTCCCCTCGGGGGCCCCTCCTCACGCTAATTATAGCAGGGCTGGGTGGCCCCACATGGGGTCAGAGCAGACAGCGGCAGGTGGCTGCTGTCAGAAGCCTCGCTCCCAACTCAAGGACGGCAAAGAGCTGCCACCACCTGTGGAGAGACCTGAGTGCCCTCTCCCCCGCCACCCCTGGGTCCTGGTCATGGAGTCACTGTGAAGTGAAGGGAAGGACCCAGCACATGATCAGGCCTGCCTCTCTCCCTGCAGAAGCCCTGGCTTCCAGGGCATGAGCAGCAGGGCCTCCCCCTCCCCACCCCTCGCGCCAAGTAGCGGCTTATGAAATGCTGTTTCCTGACGGACCTCTCCGCAGAGTCCCCGAAAGCAGCTCTCAGCTCAGAGAGGCTCTTAGAGTTCTTCAGGTCAACCCTTGTGGACTCAATGCCCATGGGCTCCAGAAACTTTCCTCCAGCCCCACCACCACCTCCTGAAGATTCTCCAGTCCAGCCCCCGCTCCCCACCTCAGCATCTGACCACACCCGGCCCTCCATCTGGAGCATCTTTCTTTCTCAGGATGCCCCTAATTAGTCTCAGCTCCGAGATTCCTCCTCAGAGACGACGTCCCTGACCCCAGGACGGGTTGGCGCCCCTCTCCAGATTCCTATAAACCCAAGTGCTGTCTGTCACAGTGCTAATCACCCCACAGTGTCACATGTCTATCCCCCCACATGGTGGGGGCCTTGAGGACAGGCACCTCATCTGTCTCCTTTACCACTGAACCCCAAGCACAGAGCACGTTAGTGTTTGTTGCCACAGCAAGAGTGAGTCTGAGACCCAATCGGGTTCACTCACGACTGGGTCCATGTGGCCCATTAAACGTCTATTTGCAGGGGGCCGAAGAGCGCTGGGTCCAGTGGGGATAGTGGGTGGTCTGTGAGTGCTTCTGAGCCTGCCCCAAGCTCCAGGAACACTGTCTGACCCCACATTTGCACCTTCTATGACCTTGTTCATTCTGTCCCCACCCATTTGGGTGGGGCGGGTCTCCTGTCTCCCAGCCCACTCCCAGCAAGGAGATGGAGGGCGGAGGGACTGGAGGACAGGCTGGTACCATGCTCCTCGAATGAGCACCCCTCTCCGTCCACCTGTCCTGGGCCTTGTGATCCCCTCCTGCCTGGCCCTCCAGGATGGAGAGGTGAGAGGGGATGCTGACCTTGGGGATATGAAGTTCTCTTCCCTCCCAAGCACCCCTGCATTGGCGAGGCACGGATCTCCCTATCTTTCTGCCTCTGTCCAGCTTTTCTCAGTGCCAAGGCTCTGGGAGGCCCTGACTAGCTCCGGCTCTCACCCTTTCCTCCTACTCTCGCCCCAGGTCCTGAGCCAAGTCCCTCACGCATTCCAGCAGCTGAATGAAGACAGAGACTCATCTGTCTGTCTGTCTGTCCTGGGGCCAGGGTGCTGGGCAGCACCCTGGGTGGGGGCAGCTGGGAACAAGCCCTGAGGGTGTTGCAGGGGCAGCTACTGTTCTGATTTTCCAGTCACTCTCTCATTCTCTGCCCCCATCTGGGGAGGGACACACCCTTGAGACTGTTTTCAGCCCTGCTCTCCACAGCCAGGCCACCTCCCTGATTCAGGTCCTCATCATTTAGCACTCAGCAGCAGTGATAACCGTTACCACGAACTGAATGCTACCCACACAGTCGGCGCTGCACTCCACACGTCACATGCTCGTCCTTTAATCCTCACAGCAACCACGAGGCAGTCCCATCATCGTCCCCAGTTTCTGAGGCTGCAGGGCTAATGTAACTTGTCTGCCAACACGGGTAGAAGCCTGGGCCAGAGCCCAGGTTCTTAACGATCAAACTCAACTCTTCCCTGCTTCTAATCTTTCCTCCACCGTGGTAATCCCTCTTCCATTGAGGCCAGAGTCCTTGCTCTCACGTGCATAAGAAACCTGGTTACGTCCCTATGTAAAAAAACCCCAGTGAGGGGGTTTCTAGTGAGGGGACTTCTAGAAAAAAATGGCACATTGAGCAGACAGATTTATCTCCACTCTCTTCCAGAACCCCACTCTGATGAGCACAAGGGAATAAACAAGGCATAAATCCACCAGGACAAAGGGCAAGGGAGAGGTGATGACGGCAGATGAAAGATGTCAGCAAAATTCTGGAAGCTGGAAAGCAGATGGTCAAGTAGCAGCTGACGTGGTGGAGCAGCGGAAGCTGAGAGCGGAGTCCAGCAGGGAGAAACCACCCAGAGGCAGACCCTGGGAGAGCTCAGGAATTAAAGCCCCAGGGACCCCTGGAGGCCAGGGCGCCAGCAGGACTGAGGACAAGAGCCTGGCTGAAAGTCTGTAAGAAGCCATCAGGCCTAGATCCCCTCCCCAACTCTGCATGGCCAGGCGATGGGCACCTCCCCACCTGGGTCGGGGCCGGGGTCACTCTCTGCAGAGGATGAACCAGGGGATCCTGCCCAGCTGAAGGCCCGAGGCAGAGGGACCTACAGAGAAAGGGGACAAGTGAAAGTCTACACAAGAAAGGCTGAGCACCCGCCAAGCCCCTTCCCCATTTGATGCCAGAATGCTGTAGCCAGACTTACATCCTCCCAGGAAAAGACCAGAGCATTCCTCTCTGGGAAACTGAACCACTCAGAAAAGTGACCCCAGAAACTGCCGTGTGAAGATCTCCCAAAGAAACAGCCCCGTCCTGACCAGTCCCTCAGCAGTGACTCAGAAAAGTCTGGCCAGGCCACACACCTCCCAGTCGGGATCCCAGTGCCCCCTTCCATGTAGCAAATACAGCCAAGCCATTTTAGGAAAACCTTTAACATGAAAGGAAGATGTAAAAAAATAACTCAAAGGCAAGAAAGACATTGCAGGGAGCAAAAGAAAAAAATAAAATCCATATAGGCAATAATCTCAGAAAGGTAAGAGAAGATACTGTACTCGTCAAACAAGAACAGGATAATAAAAAGGAGTATTTAGTGAATAAGAAAGTTCAGGAAGTTAAAAGTACAATAGAAAAAAATTAAAAATTTAATAGAAGATAAAGGTATTTCCTCCAGAAAATAGAAAGAGATTTAAAAAAACTAAAAGATTAAAAAATAAGGAAGCATGAGAACAGCTGAATATTAAGGGTTTCAGAAGGAGAAAATAGAAGAGAGATGATTATCAAATAAATAATACAAGAACATTTCCAAGAACTGAAAGATATGAGTTTTTAGATTAAAAGGGTCCACCAAGTACCCCTCAAAATAAAAATAGACCAAGGCACATAATTGTGCAAGTTCAAATCACCAAAAAAAGAAAGAAAGAGAGAGAGAAAGAGTGAGTGAGTGAGAGAGAATATCCTAAGAGAGAGACAGAAAATTCTAAAAGCCTCCAGGCTTTTTAAAAGGTCAGACACAAAGGCTTGGGAATCAGACTGATATGAGACTTCTGAACAGCAAAGTTAGAAGCTAGAAGACAACGGAAAAATGCCTTCGAAATTCCGGGAGAGAATGACTTTTAACCTAGAAGTTGATATCAAATCAAACTGTCAATCAGGTGTGAGGGAAGAATAAAGACACTTTCAGGCAAGCACACCTTCTACCTCCATGTACCCATTCTCAGAAGGCCACTTGAGGATGTGCCCCACCAGAAGAAGTAAACTCCTCTAAAAAAGGTAGCCTGGGATCCAGGAAACAGGAAGACCCTGCATGACAATTTCAGGGCAGACCTAGAAAGCATGCAGTCTAGACCGGAGCAGGAGGACAGAAGGAAGTTGGCAGGAAGGTCCAGGAAAGAAGGGAACTGTCAGATGAGGATATGACAGGGATTACCTTCCAGAAAACTAGATTAAGAGATATTTTACAGAACTGTTGGAGGACATGGAAGACTCAGAGAAGCAAAGGAAAACAAGCAAATAAAACAGTTGTTCTTAAAAAGAGAATGTCATCTTGTTACAACACTTGGTTCAGCAATATTTACACAAACATAATAATGAAAATACTGAATATGGACTTAAAATGTGTTAACACGATATTGGAATCAGGGGAAATATGTGTAGGAAGTGACACGAAGGGGCTAAATCCCAACCTTCCATTGTACAAATCAATAGATAATATGTGAACTGAAAACTCAAGAAATAGCAGTCTAGGAAAGATTTTCAGAAATGTGCAAGTAAATAATGTAAGACAAAGCTGAAAAGAGTTAAAGTTGAAAGTGGTTGCCCAGAGAAAAGGAATGGAGGGTGGGGAGGAGTGGGGCAGGTGACTTAAAGCTCAGCTTTGCCATCTTGAATGCTTAGTACCTTTGAACTCGTGTTTTTGTTCGTCTTTTTTTTTTTTTTTTTTGGTGAAGACGATCAGCCCTGAGCTAACATCCATGCTAATCCTCCTCTTTTTGCTGAGGAAGACCGGCCCTGAGCTAACATCTATTGCCAATCCTCCTCCTTTTTTTGTCCCCCTAGAGCCCCAGTAGATAGTTGTATGTCATAGTTGCACATCCTTCTAGTTGCTGTATGCGGGACGCGGCCTCAGCATGGCCGGAGAAGCAGTGCATCGGTGCATGCCCAGGATCCGAACCTGAGCCACCAGTAGCAGAGCGCGCGCACTTAACCACTAAGCCACGGGGCCGGCCCCTGAACTCGTGTTTTGTAAGCAAATCTGAGGGAACAAAGCAGCATGTGCGTGAGCAGGGGAGGTACACAATGTCTGTGTCCACCGATCCTTGCCACCTCACGAGTACAGAATCCCAGTGGACCCACAATGTGTGGGAGCTCAGTGAGATTCTAGGCAAGTAGAGGATAAGCGTGTTATGTCTACACTGAGTAGACATAACTGACGGCCCCAGAGGCCACACTTTCCATTTGACCCAGAACTTGCTTCAAACGCAGAAAGAAGGCCATGACGTTTTAGGAAACACGAACGACCAAGGAGCCCTATCATCCTTTGTTATTTGTGTGCCCTCCCTGTATCAGCCAACCACTGCGTTGAAAATAGGGGACAGAAGAAAAGGGAAAGTGGGGCAGCCACACGTCCTTTCCCTTTCAGTCTTTGCTCACTCATCAGTGAGCGGAAGGTGGAGAGTGCATGTCGCATGTGCACCTATTAAGAAGTAAAATAAAACCAGTCGAGTTAGTTTTGTACAGCCTTTCCAGTGTTGCAGTGAATATGAGCTATGAGAAATGAACTGGGTCATTCTGGTGATTCTACATAGGAGGTCAAGGCTCTACATGCATTTAAAACTGCCATGGCACAAAATAAAGATGAAGGGTAAAATTTATGCTAATAATTTAAGTTTTTAAATTTTTCTTTACTTAGAACATTAAACAGCAAATAAAAAACACCGTAACAAATGAAGAGAATGGGAAAGAAAGGAAAAGCTTTCTATTTCGGTACCGTTAACGGCGCTTCTTTCCCCACCTTTCACTGGACCCGCCAGCCATGTGGCCAGCTCTGCACCTCCTCCGGCCTCATTTCCTATCTTTGGCTCCCGGAGCCTCACTCAATATCCTGTCTTCCCTGAAACCGGATTCCACTCCTTCATGCCCCGGGGCCTTTGCTAACGCTTCCTCTACCAGAACACCACTGCTCTCTCTACTATACATCTGTGAACTCCTGCTCCTCCTCCAAGATGTAGCTCAGGTGGCCTTTACAGGAAAACATTGGGGACCCCGCCCGCCTCTTTATCTGGGGCCCCTCTGTGCTTCCCTCCACCCTGGCACCGCAGTGCATCTCCCCATTAAACCCTGAGCTCTGGGTCACAGACAAGGCCTGGGTGCTGGGGGAGGCACGGGGGGGGGGCTTACTCGAGGAACCTGGTGATGTACTCGCGGCTGCAGCGGGACCAGGTGAGGGGGGCGGCGTCGTACAGGAGCTGTGGAGACATGATGAAAGGCCGTTTCCCAACAGGCTCACAGTCATTGCCGCTTCCGTCATGCTGAATGCCAAAACTGTGTGAGAGCACAGGCCCCAGGGGCGGGTGAGCCAGCAGGAAGCCGCCGGCCGGCCCCTCCCCCGGAGGTCTGCAAGGTGCCAAATCCTGGCTCCCAGGGCTGGCTCTGCCACCAAACTGCTATGTGGCCTTGGGAAAATCACATAGCCTCTCTGAGCCTGTCTCCTTAATCTAAAACGTAGATGTGATAGCTAGTATCCCACGGGGTCCTCCTCCAGATGCACCAGCCTGAGCCTGAAATGAGTGCCAGGGACCCAGAGCAGGCCTGTCCTGCGCTGAGTTGGCCAACAATGGCAAGCCAGGTGGCATAGATGGGGGCCCACTGTGGCCTCTGCAACCTCACTGACACCAAGAACAGTCTGACAGAGGGCCTCCCACCCCCCAGGTCCTTGTCCCAAGCCTGTGCACTGCAGTTAAGGGAGTCTGCACTGCTGTATCTCAGAAAAGGTCTGGAGAGACCATCCTTGGGGAGGATATGAGAAAAACTATATTTGTTGAGCACTTACTCTGTGCCAGGCACCATGCAAAGCACTTTCAGAAACACTATCTCCCGCAACCCTCGAACTGCCCAGTGAGGCATTATTACTCCAGGAGAGGCTCAGAGAGGCTAAGGAACTCACCGAGGTAACACAGTCAGGAAATGGCAGATTTGGGGCAGAGTGCTCTTTCTACCTCCACGGCTAGCTTCAATGCCCTGCATGCATAGCCGTCACTCAGGGAACCCAGAACAATGACCCCAACACCTCTGACCAACAGAACTCTGTGAGCTTGCCCTTACTGGCTTCTGGACAGTCTAAGATGCTGCCATATTCACCAGCTAAACAGCCTGGCACAGATGGCTGGGGGCATGGGCCACGCTTGGTGTGGAGAGCCTCACGCAGAGGTGTCAGATGGAGGGAGCCTTGGACACCACCGAATCCAACCCCCTCAATCAATAGAGGCCCAGAGAGGCCCAGAGAGGGCAGGGCACTTGCCTAGGGTCACAGAGCTATTAAGAATAGGGGTGTGGTGGGGACCAAGAGTGAAAAATACAAGCACTGAGGGCAACGGGGAGGGACAGCCAAAGACCTATGGTGACTTTCCAGCTCATCCCAACCCCACTTCAAATAAGACGCACTCTGGGCCAGACCCAGAGGTACCCCAGTGGGCCTCTCTCCTGTTTAACAAGGAAGCACCCTGGTTGTGGGGTGGGGACAGTGCAGGGAGAGCATGTGGCCAGGCCAAGTCAGCGCTCCTTCCCTTGGGATTTTGTGGGCCAGGGCTTGGCTGACTGGTACCCCCAGGTTGGGAGGTGAAGCTAGGTTCTTAGTGAGGCAGTGGGGGCAGGCGGGGTACCTGTGCCCGAGCTCATGGGCCACGGTGAAGGCCAGGGGCAGGCCTGTGTCCTCGCTGATGCTGCAGCTGCGGTGCGGCTGGCACATGCCTGCCACGTGGGACAGGCCCAGGGTCTCGCAGGGCTGGTTCATGGCTGCACACAGGTCCTTCCTGCACACACATAGAGAAGGGGCCATCAGGCTGACCTAGCCTGGTGCCAGGCCCACCTGAGCTGAGGGGACCAGGGAAGGACCCCTAATGGCCCTGAGGGAGTGGGGAGTGGGGATGCCCCTCCCACTGCTCCAAGACCAGCCCAGCAGCCACGTGGGAAGTAGATGCCCTCACTCACACAGGACACCTATTTAGGCCTGGGGAGCAGATCCACGCATAGACCATTTTGGTTACTGTCCCAGCAAGGGTGCTGACAGAAGCTGCCAGAGCCCAGCAGAGGGAAAATGACTCCAGCTGGAGTTCAACAATACCGTCTCCGAACAGATCAGTAGTTGTCAGAGGTCGGGCTACAGAAGAGTAGCACGAGAGAGCCTTCTAATGTCCCGTCTCTAGACTGTAGCAGTGGATACAGGAACTTACACATGTGATAGAACTGCAGGGAACTGAATACACACACACATGCGCACGCATGTAAAACTGGTAAAATCTGAGTGACATCTGGGGACCGTGTCAGTGCCCATGTCCTGGCTGTGATCGCACTATAGTTAGGCCAGATGTCACCACTGGGAGAAACTAGATGATGGGTATGACATGTCTCTACATTATTTCTGACAACCACATGAGAATCCCCAATTATTTCAATATAACAAGATCTCCCCAGTGCCGACGGAATCCAGCCTTGGGCCAAAGGTGTGTAAACTTCCTCAAAATGAGGCTGCCTGAGACAGGGCTGTCTGCCCCCTTCCTGGGGCTTCTCCCTGAGGGTTAGGTAGCACCTCCCTCTGAAGCAGGCTCTCCTGGCCACAGCCTACCCCATCCCCCCGCAGCTGGTGGCACCTGGTGAGCAGGATGGCGGTGTCGTGGTGCAGCGGGTGGGCGTCCCCCTTCATGTTGATGCTTTTCTGCCACTTGCAGAAGCTCCTCAGGGTGTTGTCTGCGTGGTGTGTGATCTTTAGGTCCTCCTGGGGGCAGAGAGCAGCCACTCATGCCTCCCTCCGGGCTCCAAAGGGTCAGGCCCAATTCTCCTCCCCACAAAGGCGGGAGACAGAGGCAAAGGGGAGGAAGAGGGAGGGCAAGCTGCCAGCCTTGTGGCCCCAGTCCAGCCTCCAGGCTGACCACCCCTCCTGCAGTCACCTCTCGGGGCACATGAGAAAGGGTTAGCCAGGGCCTGAGAGCATGACAGATGACACTACCTGGGCCAAGGAGACCCTCGCTGCACCCTCCCACACAGCAGAGCTCAGGTAACGGGGCAGAAGGGCTCTGGCAGCTGACGCCCATCCCAGGGGGCAGTGTGGGGCCACGTGACCTCTCACCTCCTCATCTTCCAGCAGGACCAGGCGCACGATGGTGATGTGGATGGGGTTCCCGATGCTGGGGTCATGAAAAAGGCCAGCCACCTGCCCAAGAGACGGGGGTCAGGCTGTCACCCTGAATATAGGTTAGGGGCGGCCACTGTCCACCTCTAACCCACCCTGAGGGAGGCACATCCACGTTTATACACAGGGGAGCTCACCCAGTACACGCAGGCTACACACATGGACAGTGCGTGCACATGCGTCCATACATGAAAGTGCCCACACCTCACACACACTTCCCCAACTCCGCCACGGCAGAACCTGGGGAGGACAACACGGCCTCCCAGGCTCCTCCCTGGCCCGGGCCGATCCTTAGCACCAGTTTGGGATCTGCTTCCAAGTACCAACCCCAGCTCACACCTCCAAATGCTGGCTTCTTGGCCCATCTCAGGGCCCTAGTTTGCCTACTCTGCCCTCAGCTGGGACAGCCCTGCAGCCCCCTCCTGCCCAGGGAACACCTGGACCAGCATCCGAGGAGTGAGTCCTCCCGTGAGGTGTGAGACCCGAGTAGAGCCTGGGGGAGGGGTGGGGGTGGGCACAGGCCCATGGAGTCTCCCCACCGCCCTGCTGTCCCATCTTACCTGGAGCTGACAGCTACAGGGCCAAGGGGGCCCGTCTATCAGAGGCCCCCAAGGCTACACGAGGGGTTCTCCACTCAGCCCCTCAGAGTAGGCCACTCCCAAAGATGGAAGGTGCACGACAATGCCAGGAGATGGGCAGGGAAAGTTATCTGCTCTTTTAAAGCTCCCTCAGAACAAGAAAGAGGCCAGCCCACGACTGGGGACAGGTGTCAGGTTCCCGGTGGGTAGAGATGGCAGGACAGGCCAGTTGTGAGTTGGTTTCTAGCAATTCCACCAAGAAAAATAATATTCGAATAGGAAGGGACAAAACGTACACTGTTACGAGGGCACAAAAGCCTCTGATAATGAGGATGAACTACACTTTCAGAACCCAAGTCAGGAATGGTGAAGACAATGCCTCCGTCCACCCCTCACCCCCACCACCACCCCCTCCGCACAGGCCTCCACACACCGCCTTCCTCCTCACATCCAACCAATTGTGCCTCCGAAATGTTGCCTGAATCCATTTCTTCTCTCCATCTCCAACACCACGGCCCAGTTCAAGGCACCAGCATCTCATCTGGACAGCTGTCAAGGTCTCCTAATGGCTGTCCCCACACACTCTGGCCCTCCAGCCCACCTGCAGCCTAGCAGCTCAGTCATCTGTCGTTGAAATGCAAACCCAGGGCCGGCCCCGTGGCTTAGCGGTTAAGTGCGTGCGCTCCGCTGCTGGCGGCCCGGGTTCGGATCCTGGGCGCGCAGCGACGCACCGCTTCTCTGACCATGCTGTGGCCACGTCCCACATACAGCAACTAGAAGGATGTGCAACTATGACATACAATTATCTACTGGGGCTTTGGGGGAAAAAATAAATACATAAATAAAATTATAAAAAGAAAAAAAAAACAAAAAAAAAAGAAATGCAAACCCAATCACCATGCCCTTGCTTAAGGCAGTAAGTAGCCCTTCACTGTCCACAACGTAAGGACAAAAGTCCTGGCCTGGCCAACAGGCCTGTGTGGTCTGGCCCCTGCCCACCTTTCTGGCCTCACTCCTTCCCACGTCCTCTCACTCCCTGGCTCCAACCACTCTGGCTTTCTCTTGGAATCCCATGATTCTTCCTACCCCAGGGCCTTTGCAGATACTATGCCCTCAGCCTGGAACACCTTCCCTCTCATCTTTCCCAAGTTATCTCCTACCGTCTCTCGAGCTCTCACCTTGGGAGCGTTTATTCTACTTGACACTCCCAAAGCATGATGAACTTATCCTTCCTAGTGTCTCCCCCTCCACTGCACCTTCACATTCATCAGTCTTCCCACATTATGTCTATCTTCCCCATAAGATCCACAGGCCCTGGGGCTGTGTCTGCATGGGCTCCCCCTTACAGCCACAGTGATCCGTCTGGTACCTGGCACATTATGGGCACTCAAGAAATATTTGTTGAATGAATGAATGAATCTTGGATACTTGCTAAGTTATTTCTAATGCATTATCTCATTTTAAAGAAACAGTGGAAAATGAGAAAAGTAAGAGAAAGTCAGATTGAAAGAACAAGTCTTTCCTAGACTACAGACAGGTGAACATGGCAGCAGCCCCCAGCACAGAAGCCCTGGAGGATGAGAAGCCCCTGCGGGTCTGCTAAGACCTGCCTCAACTGGCCCACCCCATATCCTGAGTTAGGGCTGGGGGCAGCTTCGTTCCCTCCGCATGTGTAACACCTCTCACTGTCTCCCAAGAAGCACAGAGGCAAAAGAGGCGCCGGGAGACACTGGAGGGAGGCGCCGGGAGACACTGGAGGGAGGCAGAGTCGTAACCGGTTGACCAACTCAACCAAGGAGTGCCTGTTAATGGCCTGAGGTCACTGTGGGGTGTTTCCACTGGATAAATGATGCCCAGGGAAGTCGAGTCCTGTCCTGGTGCAGGCCCAGAGACCAAGCCAGGGTGTGCAGCGTTTGTGAAAGATCTGGGGGTCACAGGTAACCACAAGCTCCCAATGAGTCAACAGTATGACTTGAGTCACTCAAAAAGGGCCTGTGACTGCAGAGAGCATGAACAGAATTGGGGGTGCAAAATGGAGTAGGCGGGGGCACCTGTCTCGCTATGCTTGCAGTAGACCCACCTGAGCTCCCAGACTCAGATATGGGTCTGGCACCGAGGCAACACTGACAGATTAGGGCCTGCAGAAGGCCCTAGTAGAGAGGAGCGAGGCTGTCCCAAAGGTGGCTGTGGGGTTGAAGGGCAGATGCTACAGCAGCCACGACAGCAGCAGCCAACACTGACTGAGCCTAACAAACACCTCCTCATGCTGGGAGCTTTGCGTGCATTATCTCATTTCGTCTTGCTGCTTCCAGGGTAGGCGTAACTCCCCCCATTTCACAGATGAAGCAACTGAGGCTCCAAGAGAGTGTGAAGCGGGGATCAGAACCCAGGCCCGACTGCTTCAAAGCCCCTGCTCTTACTTCCTAAGTCTGGAGAATGCTGCCTGCCTACTCTCTTAGGGATTCTCAGTGCAAATCAGCTCCGAAGGCTGTGAAAAGTCTTGCAGCAAACAAGACGGTGTTACTTTTTTCAACTCTGTGTTGCCAAACTTCTTCAACAGTGACATATTTTTACACAGAACACTTATTAGCATCCCCTGGAACAAGTACTCCCTGGAATATTCTTTGGGAAATGCCACAGTGAGGCAGTATCCCGAGCGCAGGATCCTGTTCTTACACATCCATCACCTTCCCCTTGGCACAGAGCTGGCACCCAGAGAGTCGGTGTTAGAGGAACAAACTTCTGCTCCAGAGGGAAGCGGGGGTTAAGTTCTCCCTGTCCCCACCACTCTGTTCCCCCATCCTTCTAGCCCACTCTGGCCATCATAGCTACCCAGCTGTCCCTCTCTGGGACAGGCTAAGGGGCACGGAGGACAGAGTGGGGCTTTGGAGGCAGACAGACCTAAGCTCCAGTCTCAGCTCTCACACTTCCTAGCTGTGTGACCCTGAGCAAGTCCCTTGGCCTCTCAGAACCTTTGTTCCCTCAACTATAAAATGGGGGTGAGGCTTAGATGAGGCAGTGTGTGTGGAACACTGGACAAGTAGGAGGTGTGCACAAGGCTCCAGCCCTTCTCAGAGGCTGGCTACACGCCATCCCTTGCCCCTGCCGAGTCCCGCAGCCTCCCCATGGTGTCTAGCATTGTCAGGCTCATAGGTGCCCCCACTCTGTCCTGGCCAATGCTGGACTTGCCAGCTCCGGAAAGCCTGATATCATCCAGGGCAGGTGAATGCGACAGCCAGACCCCCTTCCTCCAAGAAGAGACTCACCAAGTGAATGGGCGGGTCCTGCGAGCCTGGACAGGGAGGCAAGAAGGGGCCAGGCCCTGGGCCATATGCCTGACCCCTATCACCTATGGGATGTCACAGGGGAGCCTGTGGGGCTCAGTACCTGGCCCACTGGCAACACTCAGAAAAGGTGAGGGGAAATGAACCCAGTTAACTGTCGGTGGCTCCAGCCAAGCTCCTGGGCCTCTTTCAGGCTGAGCCCTGAAGGGTGCGAATAGGAAGGAGAGGATTCACAGCCTGGGAACCTGGCCCTGCTCATGCCCCAGCCCGAGGCCAGGCCCTGTTGCCCAGCAACAGTCCCCCTCGAACCCTGGCCTTTAGTGGTTCCCCTCGCTGGGCAGACAAAGCTAAACAGAGGCTTAGCTGGGCCTTAGAGGGCTCAAATGCCAGGCAGAGGCTGTGGCTTTTATTCCATAAGAAGCAAGGAGCCAACGAGGGTGGCCAAGCCAGGCGAGAACTGGCCCAGAGCCAAGCTTGCTGACGAGGACTGGAGCAGCGGGGCCTGACGGCCACAGACGGAGCGCCTGCCTTTCTCGGAGCCCAGGCTTCACAGCTATCAAATGGGTGGCCAGACACTCGAAGATCTCAGAGGGCACTTCCTTTAGGGTTGCAGGAGGGGAGGGGCTGGCATGGGGGAAGCAGTGTATGGCCACTGGCCCTGATGAAACCCTCAGACATCATCTAGCTATAGGGCACATGCCCCACACCCTGCCCTAACCCTCCAGCCCAGGAGAGAAGCAGTGTTGTATGGTGGCCTGTCCACCTGGTGGCCTGCTAAGAATGCCCAGGGCAGAGATTTCCTCTCCTATGAAGTGGCAGGAAGCAGCTGGGCAGCCTGAGGCCTCCCAGCAGCACACCCGGACGGTGGCAGGGAGGGTGTGGCCGGCACTGCAGTCAGCTCTGGGAGTCCCAGCTCTAATCAGCCACAGTGCCCTAGGTGGGACCTAGGAGACCTGGGCTCCCGTCCAGTTCTGCCCTGCCTCTCTCTGTGGCCTGGGCAAGTTACTCACCCTCTCAGGGCCTAGTTATCTCAACTGCCACATGGGGTCAGGAGCAGTATGCCAACCCCATGAGGTCCTATTGTCCTCCCCAGTTCACAGGTGAGCAAGCTGAGGCTCGGAGAGGTAAAGTGGCTTGCCCAAGGTCACCAGCTAGTATCTGCAGAACTGAACAGATCCTTCTAACTCTGTGCTGCTGTCTCAGGCTGGGTCTGGTCTGATTGTGCATTTCTGTCCTCAGCACCCAGTACAGGTCCTGGCACAAAGGAGGGAGGGGTTTGTTCCGAGCCGTGTGAATGGACCAATCAGTCTATGAGCTCCCCCAGGCAGGCACAGGGTCCTGGCTGCCTCGGCCTCCTCCTCCCCCAGCTCTGGTCCTGGTAGCAGGCAGAGGCAGCCTCCCAAATGCCAGCTGAGCCAGTGAGATGGCATGACACCCAATGTGTCCTCACAGCAGCCCCAAAGGCCCCACCGCTGCCCTGACTCTCTCCTAGTGACTCCCTACAGGGTCCTCACCCCCTCCTGGACTCTTGAAGGCTGTTTCTTCTGCTTTGGGTGGTGAATGTGAGAGCCAGAGTGTGCCCTACAAACACCCTTTGTACCCTGCCAACACCAACCCCTGAAGGCCCTCACCACCCACCGCTGCCCGCAGCCCGCAGCAGCCTCACCATGTTCATGATGGTCAGCACGTAGCTCTCGACATGCGGCTGCCCATGGTACTCCACCATTTTGGCATCAGCTACCACCAGGGTCTCCACCCACTTCTCTTTGCTGACTGAGCGCTGGTGTAGACGCCTTGGCCGCTGCCGCCGCCACTGCTGCCGCTGCTCCCAACGCTCCCGTCGGGGCTCCAGCTCCGGGGACTCTGTGGGCCCCAGATAGGGTGGGGGTTAGCTGTCAGTAGAATGGCCCAGGGCACACGTCTCAAGGGCCTCTCCTCAGCGAGCTCAGAGGCAAGAGGCCTGGACTCCCATTGTGGCTCTGCCCCAGACCTGTGCCATGGGGACCCTGACTGGTCACTTCCCTTCTCTTGACTGGGATCCCCGACTGTAAAGAGCCTCAGAGGGTGACCTCGGGGAGCCAATGAAATGGTGGATATGAACACAGTAAAGCACTGTGCCCATGTGAGGGTGACTGCCAGGCCCCTGTCTCCCAACTGCGGGGTTAGTGCATCCCAGCACCTGCAGACCCCACAGCCTAAGCCCCAGCCTGGGGAGCCTGGCCAGGACCCAGCCTGGCTGACCCCACTAGAGACCTGTTCCACTGCCCCAGGCTACCCCCAGATCAGAAGAGGAAGCACATCTATGAAGCTGGGGGAACCGAGGCCAAGAAGTACACCTCTGTGAATATCTGCTCCAGCAAAGACAGTCCCTGATCTGTGGGCAGCTTATGAGGTTGGAGTGTTGGCCGAGCAGTCCCCACACCCCAGCAGCCCTTAGTGGGCGGCTCCTTACCTGGACTGGCCAGCACTATAGCCACTCTGCAGAAGAGGTGCTGGTGCCACACTCTAGGTCCCCAATAATAGAGGTCAGTTATTGTGGGGTGGACTAGAGTGGGGAGGGAAGGGAGGCTCCTGGCTAGCTGCCCTGCAGGGGGTGGGCATGGCCCGGCCTTGCCTGGACAATCAAGGAAGAATGGTTGGCAGAGCTGGAGGTGCCAGAGACCATGAGTGGGTAGGGGGCAGGGAGAGGCCGATCTTTGAGTGGGGGAGGTAGGTGAGGCGGCAGCAAGAGGGGTTGGTGTAGGGGATCAGCTGGGGCAGGCCTGACAGGCAGAGACCTCAGGCCCACGGCACATTTCGGGGGCACAGGTTATGATGATGTGTCTGTCAGTCTATCTGTGTCCCTTTGGTCCAAGGGCAGCTGGGCATGGGGATGCTGAGTGAGGCTTCTAGAAAGGACCTCCATGTTCCCGGGCCCATCTCCTACCCCAGAGATGGCAGCAGAAGAACATACCTTGCACCCCACAGGTGCCTGTAGCCCTGGAGTCACCCGGCTCTGTTTGCCTCTCAGGGGCTTGGCGCTTGTATATCACGTGGGGCTGGGCGCGGCCGGGCTGGGCTGGGACGCCGTCCAGTGGCTCAATGAAGTAGTCCTCGTTGGAGAGCTGGAACACACCTTTCTGGGGAAGAGGCACCAGGGTCCCACAGGAAGGGCTGGCACTCGGCTGCTCTTCCCAGCCCACTCTGCTCCCACCACCCATGACTGACCCCGGACGCACTGCACTTTCTCCCTCTGAGCCTGTGTTCACTCTGTACCCTCTGCCTGGAATGTCCTTCCCTGCCATTTCACACAGCCAAAAGCTTCCAGGCTGAGCTCAGAAACCACCACTCCCAGGAAGCTGCTCTGCACACCCACTCTACCCCTCACCCCATTAGGAGCAAGAAATGGGTCTACGTCCAAATCTAACAAGATGGCATCTTCCCCAGAGTCCCAGACAGCCGTCCTGAGCCGGGCAGCCTGTGCCCAGGCCTCCAGGCCATATTGCATCTTCTTTGCATGCCAGCCATCTCCAGCCATTGTGTCCTCTCTCAGCTGGCCGTAGCATCTGACCTGCCCTCAGTCTCCCTGAGGTGATGAATCTCTCCAAAAGCAGCTCCACCCACATCCAAGCCACAGAGATGCCCACAGCCATCAGGACGTTCTTTATTTTTATATATAATTTTATTTATTTATTTTTTTTCCCCCAAAGCCCCAGTAGATAGTTGTATGTCATAGCTGCACATCCTTCTAGTTGCTGTATGGGGGACACGGCCTCTGCATGGCCGGAGAAGCGGTGTGTTGGTGCGCGCCCGGGATCCGAACCCGGGCCGCCAGCAGCGGAGCATGCACACTCAACCACTAAGCCATGGGGCCGGCCCCATCAGGACATTCTTTACCCTGGTCCCAGGGCCTGCCAGACAAGGGAAGCCGGCAGGGGTGCCTTGGGCATGTCTGCTGGCATTCAGAGAGGCCAGGGGAGGGAGTGGCCTTGGGAAGTATCTTTGAGCAGCCCACCACCCCCTGAGGAAGCTCAGGTCTCCAACCCAGAAGAAGGTTTTACCTCCCTGGACACCCCCATTGGCACCAAGTCTGCGCCTTGGGCCATGCAGGGCCAGAGAGCCTGGAGCTAGAAAGTATATCATCAGCTCTAGGGGCTGGAAAGCCGGGTTTGAAGACAGATTCCAGCACTGGATAACTGGGTGACCTTGGGCAACTTCCTCTGAGCCTGTTTCCTTATCTGTAAAATGGAATGACGCCCATATGCACAGCTGCTGCACAGGCTCAACGAGATCAACTGTACAGAGAGGGACACGTGCAGGCCATGTAAATGAGAGCCTCTGCTGGGCAGAAAGGCTCTCAGAGGCCCGGACGTCCTGCAGCCTGTGATGCGGGCTGTCGTGTTATTAGGCCCTGTCCTGCCACAGCCCTTGGCTTTTCCTGAGCAATCTGAGCTGAGGGCCCTCCTGGGAACAGCAGACGGCTGAGAGTGTGCACACATCCTCCCACTCCTCTCATACCCCACCCTCCAGAGCCGGGAAGGCAGGGCTGGTCACGTACAGAGAGCAGAAAGGGGCCCTATCCTGCCTGGACTGGGAGCTGCTCCAGCCCTGCACTCAAGCAATTGGCTGCAAGCAGTAGCCAGCATCCCTTCAACCCAGACAAAGCCGGGAGGCTGAGGCCTGCTCTCCAGGGAGGAAGGTAAAGGCAGGGCTGCCTGTCCTGGAGAAGAGCAGCCTAAAGGGCTGGCCGGGGGTGGGGGGCCACGACGACACAGACACACGACAAAATTATAACTGACGCTCCAAAGGAAGAGAGGCTCGGCTGCTTTCTGAGTTACTCGGTCTAGTGGTTCTCAAAGTGGGTCTCCAGATCTGCAGCTTCACCATTATCTGGGAAATTGTCAGGCAGGCAAGTTTTGGGGCCCCACCCCGACCTACTCTATCAGACCTGTTTTAACAAAGGCCTGTGGGTGATTCTGGCTCACATTAACGTTTGAGAACCGCTCTCCTAGAGAACAACAAGGCCTGAGTTGTCACTCCCATTTCGCAGGCGTGAATACTGAGGCTTGGAGAGGAAAAGCGAGTTGGCCAAAGCCGCCAGGCAAGTCCATGGGCAGGCTGGGCGCACCCGCACCCCAGCGGGCCACCCCGGCGCACACTCACCAGGCCGTCGCAGGCGCTGACGGCCGCCAGGCCGCCCTCCAGCTCGGGGTCCTGCACCTCGCCCAGCAGGTGGCAGGCGGGGGCGCGGGCCCGGATGTGCGCGCGGCCCAGGCCGCCGCGCCGCCGCGTCTCGCTCACGAAGCCAGGCGCCAGCAGGTGCGGGTTGGCGGTCAGGTTGAAGCGCAGCTCACGCCCGCGGTACTGCAGCTCGTAGAAGGCGGGCGCCGCGCGGCGCGCCGACACGTCCCGCTTGCGCAGCGCGCGCGGCCACAGCTCGTAGGACAGGAACGAGCCCCCCGCGTCCACGCGCACCGGGTGCACGATGTCCAGCGCCGCCCGGCCGTCGGCGGCGAGCCCTGCGGGGAGGAAAGCACGCGGGGCCGTGGGTCCGGGCGGGCTCCGGGTTCTGGCTGCTCGCCAGGGACCAGAGTGTGGAGCAGCCAACGGAGGGCAGAGGGCGGCTGAAGTCAGAGCGCGAGGATTCAAATCTTCACTGTGCCACCCACTACCTCTGCCATTTCACCTCTCCGTGCCTCGGTTTCCCCCTCTAGATTATTGCAGTAACCTCTTAACAGGTATTCCTGTTTCTACTCTTGCCCACCTCGGGTCCTCGTCCTCTAGTCTGCTTTCAACATGGCGGTCAAACCCATGGGATCATGGCCCTCCTCTGCTCAAAACCCTGCAGGGGCTCCCATCTCACCAGAGCAGAAGACCAAGTTCTGCCAATGGCCTGTGAGGCCCTGGACAAGGTGCCTGTCCAATCTCATCTCCGCTATACTTCCCGCCACTCGGCCCACTGGCCCCCTCAAGTCAGATATGCTCCTGCTTCAGGATTTTGCATTGCTCTTACCTCTATCTGGAGAACACTTCCCTCAGTTAGGCAAACGACGACACCTCTCACCTCCTTCAAGTCCTTGATCCTTTGTCTCCTCAGTGAGACCTTCCCTGACCACTTTATTTTAAAATTGCAACTCCTTGCCTCTCCTTATCCCCCTTCCCTTCTTTTTTTCCCCCCATAGCACTTCTGAACATTTTCATTCTTTTTTCTGTTTGTCTGTGTTCTCCCTCTGCTCCCAATGTAAACTCTAGGAGGGCAAGAATCTATCTAGTTTTTGTTTGTTGAAGGATTTTAAGTGCCAGAAAAGACGGTTTGTAACTTTGTAGTTTCTCAGTAACTGTTTGTTGAGTGAATCTGTAGAATGGGGATAACAACAGCTTACACTCTTGGCGCCTGGTGGGATCAAATGAACTGAGCTACTCCACGTATCACAGTGCCTGGCCCGCTGATCTGAACGTGATGGCAACTAGGATTATTATGACTATTATTAGCCTGATGGATTTTAAAAATGAGCTCTCAGGGGCCTGAGGGCTCTGCACATGTCTCCAGGCCTCCTGAGATGGGGAGATGGAGGACCACCCAGGTGGGGCTCCCTGGCCCCTTACCACTACCACTTCAGCGGAGCAGCTCTGCTTTCTTTCTTTTATATGCAAGAGTTCATCTGAAGAAAAGGTTCCAGGGCTGGAAAAAATTTGCAGACCTCTGCTCCACTTCTTGCAGTCTGCAGAATCCTCTCTTGTCACTCTGTCCTCTTGGATTTCCCAGTGAGTCCAGATTCCTAACCTTTTTTGCCATGGACCCCTTCTCAGAATAATGTTTTTAAATGCATAAGATAAAACAATAGGAGTACCAAGGAAACTGATTATATTGAAATACAGTTATCAAAATAATTATAAAAGCGGGATGTGGAATTATGTGCTCCTGTATTAATGCATTAAACGAGACCTAATGGCAAATTTAACAACTACAATAATTTTGAAGTAGTGATGTACATAAATCTTATTTCAAGATACCTGCATCTATGAGATAGAAAAATATTTTGTTTTTTTCTATTGGTAACAAAATCATAGATGCTGCTAACACTATTGTGATTTGTTGCTAATATTCATAATTAAGGGAAATGCTAAATTTCACTTAGAAAAATTAAAGATGTAATATTTTCCCATCCACATTCACGGATCCTTGGGCTACAGACTCCAGGTTAGGACATCTGCAGTAAGGTCTCCAGGCTGCCTCCTAGGTGAGAAAGCAAAGGGAAGTTCAGAGAAGTGGAGACTGGCCTACAGCCACACAGCAAAAAGACAGAGCTGAGACTGGGGCCCAAGCCTCCTCAAATGGCTTCAGTCCCTTCAGTAACATTGTTCTACATTGTCAGCAGTCCGTCCCTTGCTGGGCCTGTTTCCCCATCGCTAACATAGAGTTGGACTAGGTCAAGTTTTTCAAACTTCTTTGGCCACCAGACCTAGTTTTCAAAAGAAACCTCATGTGGACACATACACACATCAGAGCAGCACTGAGGAGGC